GTCTTGGATAGACAGCAGACATCGATATTAAGACTTTCCAAAGACATAGCCAGCCCTATTTGTTGACCAACCTGCATAAGTGTGAGAACGTTGAAGGCAGCCAGTTTGAATGGCGCACGTGGTTTCAGAAAAACTGCTTCAGTACTCATATTCGATGGTAACATACAATTTTCGACCGGACAGTGACTCGAGAACGTTTAGATACAGTCGGATTTCCACCAAAGACGAGCCGCTGTATAAGTATAAAAGAGGGTGAATAATGTGGAAAATAATAATAATAATAATGACAATAACAGTAATGATAATTATTTGAATCGATTGATCGTTTTTCGGAGCGAGAAAAGTAGTTGCCATAGACATAGAGTTCATCGTTTGTGTGAGGGCTGTGATACTGCCCGGGTGCCCAAACCGAAGCAGGTAATGCACGAACACCTGGATGAGAAAGCTTCTGAAACTTATTGAAAACGTCGCATCGATAATGTTTTGGCACGATTGGACGATCCCACTCAGTAAACTTTCCTTACTTATTCCTATCTCTTTACTAGGCAGGTTTAGAGTTGTTGAAGATAACTCGTACTGAAAATCAGTGTCTTCACCTTGAAGCTGTGCGAGTTTAAGTTGGTCGATCCCTCGTAACTGTCCATGGAGGTTATACGTGATAGGGCATCTGCAACTACATTGTTTGCTTCAAAAATTTGTTATGTATTTAAAGCAAACTGAGGGAGGAAGTCCAGTTGTCGAGACTCTCGAGAGGATTACGTATCTGGAAATGAACTTAAAGAGAAAGTAAGAGGTTTGTGGTCGGTGAAAAGAGTGAATCCTCGGCCTTCAACCGAGTGTTGAAAGTGCCGTACAGCACAATTCATGGCTAGGAGTTTCCTATCGAAAAGGCTATACCTCCATTCAGTGTCTTGAAAAGAATGCTAAAGGTTACCGGCTATTGTTTACCAAGTGTTGTAAGACTCTTCTGATTGCCGAGTTGGATGCGTCTACAGTGATGCCAATTGGTGCTTTGGTGTCCTAATGTGCGAGCATTGTTGCTTGTGAGATTAGTTCTTTAAGTGTAAGGAATGCTTTTTTCGAAGTGTCGTACAAATTGATGGATTTCGCATTTCCACAAAGTTGGTCGGATAAAGACCTTATGAGGGACACGCATTCCGGTATGAACTGTCAACAAAACCTTATCAGGCTGTTAAACATCCGTAGCTGCTTGATTGTTGTCTCTTCTAGGTAATTCGGAATGGCCGCTACTTTGCTTTTCAGATGGTGAATGTGTTTGAGAAAAATTAAGAAGTCAGTTTGATTTGAAATTTTTGAATGTTTACAGTGAAGATGCCACAGGTATTCGGAGTGTGACAACTCTTTAACCAGTAACACCTTCTAATATAAAGCGTACCCACGAAGTGAAATCAAAAGACAGAAGCGAGAAGGTCCGAAGATATATTTGATAGATTACCAACATATCGAGGATCGCGCGATCTAATTCAGGTAGCGATTGTAAGGCTTTTTAAGCACGGCGTTCCTAATCGTGATCTGGTGTGGATGCGTGACAGCAATAAATAACAATTAGAATAAAGAAATGATATATAAAGTTCTGAAATGGGAAAGAATCACAGTCAACGAGTTGGTGTATCAGATCACACCGGGCTCATAACTAAAGATGACACAAGTATTTTGGAGTTTGACAACACCCTGACCAGTAACAACTTCTGTAATAAAAACGTGCACACCCAGTGAAATCAGAAGTCAGAAGCGATGGGGTCCGAAGATATACTTGACAAGCTATCAATATATCGACAAGTGACTGATCTAAACTGGCTAGCGGTTGCAGGAGAAGTTGATCACAGCGTTCCCACTCGTGATCTGGTGTGGATGCGTGACCGAGCGCCTTCAGCTAAGTGAGTCCATTGAAACTAATGTGGTCAGCTCCAATGTCGAGGATTTACAGAGCTATTTATTGTGAGGATTTATTTACCACTACAGACCATTTGAGGAATAAGACAACAGGTCTCGGGTTTTGGCGCGAAATTCACTCATCCGCTAAGTACAGTTTTGGCGTTATAGCTAATATCAGTTCGTGATGAAAACCCTAAATCTAATTCCTGACATAAACCATGAACTGCAAATCACAATTCTAATTCCTCACACTGGATTATGACTCTCATTTGGTTCTAATCATTAAATGGACATTCTCAGGGTTACTTTAGCGTCGCTCAAAGGTCGTCCATAAATTATAGTCTTACTGTCATATATATATATATATATATATATATTCAACCAGCAATTAGTGGCTATGGACTGGCTCCATATCCTTTTGTTACTCAACCCCGAGGTTGAGATCTCATTGGCTTAGTCATTTCCGACTGTGATCAAAGAAAAAGGTTACTTCAACAACTGAATTTTTGGTGATATAAACCAACAGTTGAAGATGTTAAGTGATATGCCTCGGAGTTAATCACAATTAAGCCTGAAATGTATCTACATTGCTTATAACTGAAGCGCACTTTTAGTAGTATTGATCTTACAGTTACAGTTTGGAAAGGACAGGAGGCTCGATGGCCTATGTTAGTCCTGGCAATGGTGGTCTCTCAGTTGATCCAACTTTCTTTTGAAAGAGTCGACGGATAGAGCCTCAACCACGTGCTGAGGTAGTGAATTCCACTCGTTGCTGATTCGATGGGAAAGTCGATAGTCAGCTGACAAGTAATTTGTTCTCGGCTTATGAACTTTTTTGGAGTGTCCTCGTAAATTCTCTGTTTTGGAAGACAAGAAAAATGGGGGTATATCAGGTGCAAATTTATCACTAAGCAATTTGTAGACTGTAATCAAGTCACCTCTAGTTCTGCGATATGACAACGGGAAAAGGTTCAGCTTGGCTAGTCGAGATTCATACGGAAGCTTCGCTATTCCGGGAATCAGCTTAGTCGCCGTTCTCTGAACCTTTTCCAGAAGCTCACTGTCTTTTTTAAGCAGGGGCTAGCCGCTTGTATGCAGTACTCAAGTTTAGGACGTACGAACACTGTATACAAAGTTAAAAACGTTTTAGCGTCGACATGACTAAAAGCTCTACGTATTGACCATAACGTACTAAAACCTTTGGCGGCTATTGCACGGCAGTGTGCAGTAGTCTTTAAGTCTTGACTAACGATAACTCCTAAGTCACTATATGTCTGGACGACAGGTAGCTCAGTGTTATTCATCGTGTATGTATCTGTGCCTTGATAACCGATATGCATCACAACACACTTGGAAGTATTTATTGGCAACTGCCATGTTTGAGACCATTCAGATAACTTCTTCAGGTCATTTTGAAGTTCTAAGCTATCACTCTTACGTCGTATCGTTTTCCATATCTTGACATCGTCAGCAAACAGCAAGACCGATGATGATAGGAGACAAGGAAGGTCATTTATATACAAGAGGAATAGCACTGGCCCCAAAACTGTACCCTGGGGCACTCCACTAAGCACAGTTTCCCAGCTAGATAACTTTGAGTTCACCCTTACTCTTTGTTGACGCCCAACTAAGAAGTCTTTTATCCACATCAATAAATTGCCTCCAATCCCGACTTTTCTTAACTTATATAACAGCCGGTTGTGCGGAACCTTGTCAAAAGCCTTACTGAAATCAATGAAGGCGACGTCTACAGGTAGCTTTTGGTCCTTAAGAGCGCACCAGCTTTCACGAGCCACTAACAAGTTAGTGAGACAAGAATAACCTATTCTGAAGCCGTGCTGCTTCTCCGAGAGGATCCGGTGACTGGCAGTTATATGGAAGTCGAAAGTTAAAACTGCGTGGTCACTTTTACCTAGGGGTGGCATATGATGGAGGTTCGCAACATCATCCTCATAGTGGGTCAGTATAAGATCTAATAAGGATGATTCAGTGTCCGGGTCGTACCTTGTCGCTTCTTTCACATGTTGCACTAGAGCACATGTGATAACCCCATCAACTAGTTCCTGCTCGAAAGAATTCTCCGACGATTTAGTTCGCAGATTTTCCCAGTCTACCATAGGTGCATTGAAGTCCCCTAGGATTAGACATCGACCACTTTGGGACCAAGTATTGAGACTGCTTAACAGGATCTCATTTGCCTCACAGCTTGGACTGCGATAGACCAAACCAATCAGCAGCTCTTGTCCTTTGCATTTTAGGCGAAGACTAACTAATTCACACGTCCCACTCTCATGGGATACACTATCGATAATGGCAAATGGGATAGCATTCCTAATGAATAGAGCTACTCCCCCTCCTTTGCGCTTTTGTGTTCTGTCGGCCCTTACTAACGTAAAACCCTCGAAATCAAGTTCCATACTATCTATAGCCTGTGTCAGCCAGGTTTCTGTTACTGCGATTATGTCTGGCTTTGTAGAGTCAATCTGTACACCTAGTTCCGATCGCTTATTAAGTAAGCTTCGTGCATTGATGTAACAGATCCGAAGCCTGTTTAAGTGCCTTCGTGCTCCACCCAGAGTGCCTTCGGCATCATTCTCTGTCGAAGTCTTACAACCCGAAAATTTACAATTTTCAGGTCCTTTTCGCCAGCGTCTAACCTAAGTTGTAGTTCTTTCTCGGCTTCCCGTCTTTTAACACGGTCTGCCAACGGTAGGTCCTTTCGGATAGAGACTCCTGAACCCTTTAATTTGTGTCCATTTTGTAAAATTAGGTCACGTTCGTTCGAAGAGCCGAATACTACTTTAAGCAGTCTGGAATTATTTGGTTTCGAGTCCGCTAGATTCCCTAGTCGGTACACCTTTAGCAAGGTGACCCCGGTCATATTTTGAGGCATGAGTTGATTAAGCAGCTGCCTAATCAGTACAATGTCATGCTCAAAACGAGCTTTAGGTTCAGAGCTCTCGCTCTCCTTGATTCTATGAAAAATAGCTGATCTGGACATTTAATTTTCTGTTAGTCACGAACTCTTACTCATCTCCAGTTATCGTTTCATGTTTCTCAGCCAACAGTGATCACAAAGCATTTAGTGGACGTAAAAAATCGGCATGAACAGTTTTTACCACAATTTACCGAAAATTGTATGTAGATTTGATTACACATATATTAATGATTAGGAGTTGCATGCCCACCTTTCTGGGAGTATTAGTTCGGCGTTTTTGAAGCGTGAATCAATTACCAACCGTGATGTTCAGAACATTAATCCAAGTTTTGATTTTGAAACATGGAACGGGGATATGAATAGGTAATTATGGAGTTTTACTTACCTTTAAAATTATGTATGTAGGTGTTTTGATGCTTTCCGAACAATCCACAAATTAATTGAAACACCAGAGATTTTGGAGAGAGTATGCATTTTTGATATAATAGTTTATTTACCCTTTGATAAACATGCCAGTCAGTCTGTTACAACGTAGGACCAGGTACATATATACAACGGTCCAAGTTGCCACACCTCATTAGCACAACAAAACAAACACCAAATTCACAGTAGTTTCTTCGATGGCAGTAATATGTAAAGAAGGATTGCATATAAGGATATGATACAGGTAGAGTGAATTAGTTCATAGAAAGGGAGATATAAAGTAATTTTAATCTCACGGTTCAAGGCAGGACAGAGAGTTTATACACCTACACCGTTGTGATCGGTTCTGTCACACAGTCTCCAACCATTGGTTAAGATAGTCGCGCAGACCCCAACCAAGTAGTCTGCGTCTACCAACATGGCTCAGACCGGAAGTTAGTGACTTTATGGACTGATACCACGTTTTAGTCTGGCCGCCCCGGCTTTCTTTCATCCGTCTTCAACACTAGTTGTTCGATGGTAATATTTTTGTGGATGAAATTGTACTGGTGACTGTAGTGGAGTATATCAAGAGAGGCTTGTTGAGAGAGTATCTAACTATATTGCCTTCTCATAGTTAATATGGGTTATTATATGACCGATGGATGTACTACACCTCTTAGCTCTGCTGATTTCCCTCAGTGTAGTCAGGTTATGGATCTTATTCTACATTAGCCTTCGAGATATATATATATATATATATATATATATATATATATCAGGTCTCGGGTTCACCCTTCCATCTTGACAAACCACTAGTACATATTCGTTTTTCTATATATCAAGAAGTAATCATTCATGTTATGGGAATGAAAGGAGTACCGATAATTTGTTTACATTTTCAGCAATTGATGCACACCAATTTTTACATCGGCCTCTTTATTTCCTTCCGTACTTGTTGTCAACGCTTAGACGGTTATTTCTAATGTTCTTATTTGTACAGAGTAAATGATCTTGCAATAAAATATCCCAATATCCGAATGTCAAGTTATTTCTTTCGTAGTTTTATTTTAATTGAGAAAAATTCTCGTTTAGTTCCTGAAGTTCATTTCATGTAATTGATTTTAATTTGACTGATAACTTAGATCTTTATAGTGTGGAGTATAATCAAGGAGTTTGTGAAACATTATGATGCAGATGTATGATTTTTCACCGCGAAGAAAATGTACAGAAAAACATCTCAACAGGATTTGTATTTGAAGTACCACAAAATGATACATCAAAATTATCTATATGATTCTTCAGTTGAAATTGTTTCAGAGTGTAAAAGTCTTTTTCCTGAAAATTAGGTTAAATGGCATTAGCCAGGTTCTGTTCAAATATTAAGTTCTCTAGCCACCAAATTAATCTTTCCTAACATTAACTTTGTTTTTTTTGCATTGTTTTTGTGTTCCTGACCCTTAAAAGCGTTTATTTGTACATGTTGTTGGTGTGACATGAATTTCCATATAAAAATATATGGGTTTTACAATAATTATTACTCGTTTCACTTGCTACACGTCTACACTAAATTGTAGGCTACAACTTCCGTTATTGAAGAATTTCATCAAGAAAACGTCATTCTTTTGGAATTGAGGACTACGTTACGACCAATTCCAACTCATCGTTCTTATTTGAATGCGGTAATCAGAGGAATACAGAATGCACCGAGTGTACTTGATAATAAAATATATGTGACATTAATACTATCTATAGACAGGTCTAAAAGTCTTGATGAAGCGTTACTCACTTTAGAGTTAGCAAAGGAATACTATTCTAATGGATTGGTATCAGGCATTGATCTCAGCGGGAATCCACTAGTAGGTTCATCTGTTTAAAAATTCCTAATGACTTAATTTTCATAATCTCATATTTCATTGTACTTCCTCTACTAAATTGATCCATAACTCAACCCAACAATGTTGTATAATCACTTAGTCGGTTCTACTGTGCTTTATTTCAGGGTATTTACTAGTTGTTCATATCACACCTGATTAATTGGAGTTACTTATAAACCAGTCGCTGGTAATGTGTTTTTATTATTGTCTGATTGTAAAACTTAAATGAAAATAATAAAATTATAACACGTATCAAATGCTAGAAATTAAGGTATTATGTATATGATAGCTTAAAGAAAATTTAAATGCTTTATAAGAAATAGTGTGTTTGTCAGTAATAATAATAATAGTGTTTCGAGATGTTTTCCTACCAACCAATTCATTTTTGTGTGGAATCCGATGATTGATAATCTACTTATTGGACGTTTTGCTGTTAAGAATTTAAATGGAGTACTCGAAAGATAAAGTTACTAATAAGATCCGTCATAATACTCGCCAGCAAGGTATATTTGAGTGCACCAATATCTTAGTGTTCAAACAAGTTATTCAAATAGAGCAAGAACAAAAAACGTGGTAGAATAACATGAATTCTTTTTATTTCATGGTTTCATATCAGCTGCATACAACTTGAACATAATAGTATTATTCATTAAAGATTAGTGTACATACTTGATATCACAATAAAGCAAATGTTCTTATGGATAATGATTAACAACCTTACTGTAGCTGCTACCTTGTCATGGTGGTCGGGCTTGCCTATCGTGATGACCCAACCGAGCTATACTAGCTGGAACATATGTTCCTGTAGGTTCTACCATGCCAAGCAGGTCGACTGGAGAATGGTAAGACTATAAGCAGCAACTCAAGATCTGAGGGTGAAGTCGTACTGATGACTGTAGAGGGGTGTGACAGAAGTAAGGTGTTTCCCTTAGCAATCAGCATGGGCAGCGATACTGCTTTCTCACATGGAAGGAAGGGGTTAGAAAAGGTCATTCATTTGACCTCACCATATCGAAATAAAGAACCATTTCGACTCACGCTTCTTGTATCTAGAAACCCTGATACTGCTTTTCAAGGTCTGGTTTGTGTAGGTATAGCACTGGGTCATAGGGCGGAACTAGCTCTCTTAGACTAAATCCCAGTAGACAGTCGTTTGTGCGCTGTCCGACTAAACGGAACAGTAAGGACTCGTGAAGATAGGGACACTCGTCGTTGCCTCTTCGTCGTCTCTACCTACTCTCCCATTGACTGCAGCTCAGATGATGTAAAAGATGAGTTTTACAGAAAGCTTTCTGATGTTGTGGAAAATCTAGTTCAACCAATTTTGGTCGGTTACTTTTCCACGTGCAGAGATAAACTTCTTTGGTGTCGCAGGGTTTGGATGCATTACCAGAAAATTGAGCCAGGCGTAACGTTACCCTTGAAATCGCGCGGCAGTGCCTTCACTTTTGCCAGAAATTATGCAAGTTGATCTGTCACTCCGTGCTCGTGGAAGTCGGCTTCTGAGTATCAGAACCAGGATTCGATATTTTCAATCCAGAATGGCATGAAATGGAAGGTGGATAGTGTGAGAGTCTTAATGTTTAGCAGTTTGGGTGTCTATTTCGTCATCATGTGGATCAAATTTATAAATGGGTAAAAAAGCTCTGAGAACACAAAACTCTCTATCATAGTATGCAAAAAATAGATATAGTGTAACCACAAAGAAAAGACAGTTTATTGTTTGGTGCATCGAACCAAATCGGGTTCGCCACCAAGGATGTCACGGACATTCAGGGTTTGACAACGCGTTTGTCAGTAAGACCCTCATGATTGGAAGATATCAACCCAGTCAAACCTTAGGTCAGGGATAAATGAGTTCGAAAATATGTTCGTGAAGTCACCGATACGTTGAGAAGCGTTTGATTTAAGCTGGCCAGTTGTTACAAAGGATGCATATGCATCCACGCTATATAGCACGGAGTACCTATCTGTGATCCGGCGCTGATGCCTGACAGAGCACCTTCAGCCAAGACACATCCAGTGAGATTAGTGAGGTCAGAAGAAACGTCAAGGACTTACAGAACTATTTGTTTTGTTGGTTTACTTACCGCTACAATGGATAATAATAAAGTTAACGCTGAGATTCTCCATTCCATTTTGTTATTCATCATCAAGTTATGATGTTAACAGCAAAATATCATGTATTTCAAACCTTCTGTTGTTTCGTTTGTATTGTCGACTTGACAGCTTTCATAAGAAGCAGGTGGGCAGAATCTGTTTTACAGTATGGTGTGATGAGGTATTGACCTAAGGCGTCAAAATCAAAAAGTCCGGGCCTTGAGGTGGGATGGGTGTTCCAAAGTTCTTTAGATGGATTAGTGCTCGATACCCTTGCATCAACCAGATTTTGCGGCCAGGAGAGGTTGGTACTATCTAGGAATTTGTTTTCTATTATATTTCTTAAAATATTGACGCTGCAACAAAGCCTCATACATTAAATTTTATTGTAACTAGCATTTACTGTAGACTACACTGCCATACCATGTCAGCCTCAATTTAGGAGTTTATCAGACTTCTTTGGATTTCCGAACATACAGCGCTGAGTTAATTATAGCGATAAAAATGCCCATGTGAGGTAAATGTATTTATCAGAACTAAAAATACTGTATTTTAAAGTTGACCTGGGAATGGTTAAGCTAAGAAACTACTAATAATTAGCTCCTGTTTAGTTAGTAACGAAGGTACCAAATTATACATTATTCAAACCACTGGTGGTATATGATGGATTCATCAGGTGGATAGCCTTGAGGTTGGATGTGGGATTTTAGGTAGAAATTGAGTCGTTTAGTGAAAATTTAATTCGTTGTGGACAAACGTGCTTGCAGCATTTGTTATAAATATCAAGCCGCCACCCATCGGGCACAAGAAGGCAGAGACTTTCTAGTTGGTCCTCCAGGAGCTTGTAACTAAAGTTACTTGCTATACATTGACATCACTTCAACTAAATCAACAGTCCAATTAAACAAAGCAATTCAGATACGTTTTAAGAAAATTGATAAGTCCCATTTGTTATTTCACCCACTCTAGGAGCGTCAGAGGGGACATCCATTTCTCGAGACCGAATAAATTAAGTTTTCAACTTCACTTCGGGCATTTGGGCAACATGCCTTAACTTCCCAGTAAGGTTGTTTGTTAGCCAAAAAACACGGTTCTAGACTGTTACAGAGATTTGTTAGCATCCTGGAAATTGAAAGCGGTGGAATACATACAATCCTCAAGGTCGATTTATGTGAGTCATTCTCTCAATAATCTGTTTGATAGAATGCTACTTATGATTCTTCTTGGTAAAGCGTGGATTCAATTCCTTTTTCTGGAGTGGTCGTAAGTTGGTCAACAGTTTTCTATGGACAGTGACAACATTTATTATCAACAATATTTGTCACATGGATTATTGGGAAACAAATTAGTCCGTCCATAACGAGCTAATGGTTTACGTTGTTTCATCACATGGAGCATCATGGTTATACATTTTATCCTCATATTACCGTTTATTACGTATATTTTCTTAATGGGTGTATTATCCTCTATTCTTAAAGATCCCTGTTATCGATCACTTTTATTTGGACATGAACGGTATACTTCACACTTGTTCACACCCAGAAGGTGGTAAAATAATCTTTTCGGAAGAGATTATATTCCGAAATATTTGTCTATATATTCAAGTAAAGTTGGCGTGCATCTAGTAAACTGCTTTTTCAGTTCTTGTTCAACCTCATTAAGCCACGTAAGACTTTCTTTTTGGCCGTGGATGGTGTTGCACCTAGAGCTAAAATGACGCAGCAACGTGCTCGCCGTTTCCAGTAAGTATTCATTTGAATGTATTGACATTATGTTTCTTTGATAAATATTTATAATTGCATTTCAATTTTACAGATCTGCTTTAGAGGCTCGTATTGCCAAAGAGAATTTAAAAGATAGTTCACCTGAGACCCACTCATTCGACCCGTGTGTGATTTCTCCAGGTATGTAATTTTGTAATTGGATCACTTTCAGTAAGTTGTTGTGTAAAAATAAATAAAAGTATATTTAAGTCTCACAACGACTTTATCAGAACGTTGGCTGAAGATTTATGTTTAATTTATGGCGGGAGTGACATTTTACCGTTTACTATTAACTTTGCTGTTATGTTTTGCAGACCACGTTAACTAAGTCGTGATATTCTTGAGTCATCCATTTGTCGGAATATTAGTAAATGTTAGTATCATTACTGAATTGCCGATAGTTTATGTTTTAGTTTAATATTCATGTTTATTCCTTATAGGTAAGGGAAACATCTAAATTAGTATTATTTAAGCTGTATCAACGATTTTTGTAAGCGAAACTAAAGAACCAGATGTTCGTTTCTGATCGCCAACCAACTGTATTATATTGTCATTATAGAAAAAAATGAAGGTTGTATTTGTCCTAATGTCAGTGATGTACTTACGTACGTACCATCAGTTCAGCACCTTACAGAGTTAATATCATAATTATGCTGACAACAGTCAACAAATAAGAAAGCGGAGATAGTGTAAATAAAAGACAAGATATTTATAATTTAAAAGATGAAGAGTATCACATAAGACCTTAAACTGCTAGTTTTGATCCTCTTACAGACTTAAACTATAAAACATCGGACTGAAGATAAGTGAGTCAATAAATTACTATCATTTTTAGTGGAGAAATGTAAAATGAATACTTTCGTGCACATATGCTGAACACTAACACTGGAGAGCAAACACTGACATAAACTTGATAATGACGTGTCCGGTAGATGTTTCTCACTTTTTGTTTCCAGAATTACAAATTAGAGGTGTTGATTTGTGATGTAGATGTCTAGTTTGTTGGGTAAAAAGCTGATCAATTGAAAACGTAGGATTGTGCAGTGCGATAAGTGCTAATGAGATTATGTCTCTTATTTTGTCACTCTCACTATTAGTCCCGAACAATAATAAAGTGTCGAAGTGCTGATTACAAAATCACATTCGTATTCTATTTATTCTTGTGACAAAATGAAACTTGTTTAGCAACCTCAAATATTATCTAAAGTTATGTACAATATGGTCTGTTAACATATGATATCCAGAGGTTAGTGGACGTCCAGTGAATTTAGGACTTCGAACGTCTATCAACTGTTTGTCAGTTCTGAAAACATCGAGTTAATTATTTTCAATTCCAATCAATCGCATTTGATAATTACGTGGAAACCACCCATGCAAATTACTTGTTAAATACCTACCACTTTGTTGTGTGTAAGAAAAATGTAAATTTTTGTGTTTTGGACCTGACATTGGTGAAATTGAAAATGTTTGACTGCTTTTTATTGTTATCCAATGTTCGCAGCGTGGGAGTTTGCGAGGAAACAGTTGACTGATGTTGTTTTACTTTGAAATCAATATAAATTATATTCACTGAAGAAATCTGGATGTGACCGTGGCTAATGAAGAAGTTCAAACCTTTGATTTCGTAATGACTAAATCATATACATAATCGAAACAAACTATTTCCTTATTTTTTATCAGTGACGATAATTTGGTGATGAAATGTTTTTGTGAGACATAATTACTTAAAAACGTCTACCCAGTGATTTGGAACGAACGTTTTCAAATTACGTTAAGGAAGACGTAAGTACATCAATTATCACAAAGTCTTAGTTTTTGCGTGGAAGGTCATAATTTTTACCCGAATCATGGAAGTCTTTTTTAATGCATCTTCCTCAGTTACTGGCAAAAGAACAGGGATATCTTGTCTACATAGTTGGACCATACATTTAAAAATAAGAGCTTTATCGTTTGATGTTAGATTATACTGCATTGTTGTACATATAAATCCTTGGACAATAAATCCTGCTTAATTAGATGTCACACTGATTTGTCGTTCTGAACTTAAATTTCACAAAATAAGCATTGGTATACATTAGAATTGGGATTACGATTTTTTACTTTTTATTTTTAGGTACTGAATTCATGGAGCGGTTACATCGTCATATTGTTACATTTGTAGAAAATCATGTAAATCATGATGCTGACTGGCAATGTATTGATGTCATTTTATCTGGACATGATGTAAGTCTGTAAGCTTAGTTTGTTGATAACATCACTTCTCATGTTAAAAAATCCTACGTATAACTTCTCTGTGTAATGATGCTAAGCCCTGAATGTAGCTTAAGTTTAAGTTCGAAAATGAGCTGATGTATACGTTTTTAAACTACATATATTCCCTGATCAGATCGCTTTTGTTTCACAGTTATTCTCAGTAATAAAATACTGTCATTTCATTTCGTTCACTGTCAAATAATGATAGCGCTATAATAATTAACGTTACTTATTAGTTAGGTCCATTTTCATAGCCCAATTAAACTTCGTCCGTTCCGTAATGGTTAAGATTATTATTTAATCACGGGGTTACAAGTTCGAACGTAGCTTCTTTTTTACTTTGAAGACTACCATTTATTGTACCCGAAAATGGTACGTCAAAGCCGAGGCTTCCGTCATACTTCGTAGGTTGTTCAAAACCCGATAAAGATTGACTCGCGAGGAGCAGGCTGGGTTTCTTTCTGGTTGAGGATGTATTGATCATATCTTCACCCTCCGCCAAGTGTTAGAACATCGCCATACTTTTCAAAGGTCAACAATCGTAGTGTTTCTTGACATCAGGGCTGCCTTCGATTCGTTGGATAGGACTGTTCTCTGGGATTGTGTATTGAAGAAGGGTGTGCCTGAGAAGTTTATTAACATCCTAAAAGCCCTATATACAAACACCTCAGGCAAAGTGAGGGCATACAACCACCTCTCTCCATTGTTCCATTCGAGTAGTGGGGTTAGGCAGGGTTGCGCAATCTCACCATTCCTCTTCAACTTTGCCATCGATGACATTCTAGAAACAGCTCTGATGGATGTAAGTAATGGTGGTGTGGATCTGTTGACTGGAGAAAGACTTCTCGACCTTGAGTATGCGGACGATATTGTCTTACTGTGCGATAATGCCCAAGCCATGCAATCCGCACTTAATCAGTTAGCAATCAGTGTCCGTAAGTATGGTATGTGGTTTGTACCTTCGAAGTGCAAAGTACTTCTACAAGAGTGGCAGGATCCTAATCCTGTACTCACCCTGGATGGTGAGCAGATAGAAGTAGTCGAGAAGTTCGTATATCTGGGTAGCTGCGTAAGTGCTGGTGGGGCTGTGAGTGATGAGATCAATGCACGTATAGTGAAAGCCAGAGCGGCTTATGCCAATCTGGGCCATCTTTGGCGCCTTCGTGATGTTAGTCTGGCTGTAAAAGGTCGGATCTACAACGCGTCGGTGAGAGCAGTTCTGCTCTATGCTTGTGAAACCTGGCCTCTCCGAGTTGAGGACGTTAGACGACTCTCTGTGTTCGATCATCGCTGTCTCCGAAGGATTGCTGACATCCAGTGGCAACATCATGTTAGTAATGCAGAGGTTCGGCATCGTGTGTTCGGGCACAGAGATGATAATGCAATCGATGTCACCATCTTGAAACACCGACTTCGGTGTCTTGGACATGTTCTACGAATGTCGTCCCAGAGAATTCCACGCCGTGCATTATTTGCCGACTCTGGGACTGGTTGGAAAAAGCGGAGAGGTGGTCAGTGTATGACATGATGTCTTGGCATGAAAGAAAGCTGCAAAGGACTGGCTTGTGTCGGTCCTTCACGACTCCCTGGTTGGGGTCCGAGAGATAGTGCAACACAGTGGCTAGAAACGTTATCAGATATGGCTCAGAATAGAAGCCAGTGGCGACCCTGCTGTAACCTTCCTTTACTTTCTTCATAAAAAAAGTGGTTGTATCTTCCTTAACTGAAAGATTTCTTCTGATTGTACCCTTCTGTTCTCCTACTATTGCTATTATTATTATTACACTACCTTACACCAATCTCTTCGTTATTGTTTTTTATTTTTTTATTACGTTCCTCACTTTTGTTTCTTCTTAGATTCTCATTGTTTTGTGTGGCGCATATATATTTGGCGCACTCCTGTACCAATATATATGTGTTCAAATAAATAAATAAATAAATTACCGAGCATAACTCAATCTACGTGGTTTTGAATCATACTGTTTCTGTGAGGGCTAGTAATATTACCTGGCTGCCCATACCAAATAGGTTGATGGAGGTGTTGTGTTCTTAGAGCTCCTGACGTTCTCATCCTGAGTTACGAATACTTTTTACCTTAGAAGTAGGCTGACTTAAATTCAAACGTCTTATCTGTTGGCCAAACACTAGTTTAGGAACTGTTAAGGAACCAACTTACTAGTTGTTTGCTTTATAACTGACTTTCAGTTACTGTTCAAAATGATGGTTAAGTGGTACTTTTAACTTCCATGGTAATTATTCTGACTTAATTGGCATGTATTCGTTTGGCATTTTTGTTTTGAGTAACATTACTCAATTGATTATACAAAAATTAGGATGAACTAATAGCGAAAATATGTATAAAGAGATTTCATTTTTATTTTATAATTAACAAGTGTCCTGGAGAAGGCGAACACAAAATTCGGGAGTATATGGCATATCGTCGTGGTCTACCAAATTACCGTCCTAATGAGCGCCACTGTATATACGGAATGGACGCTGACTTGGTAAGCCGTATGGTGCTAAGTTGTTTTTATCCCTAATATTTTTGTTTGGCTTCTGATGTTGATGTGATTTTTTAGTCATCCCTAGATTGTTAATATTGTTTTAGTTTGAACTGGACACAATGTGAGCCTCAGGAGAAATGTCTGTAGCTTTATTCCAGCCTATTCCCACACCAGAAGACGTCGCCCATCGAGGTAGGTGGTGGTTGTGCATAAGTTTTCGGAAGTCCAACGCACTTCAGTTGAAGATTTACTACCTTATCACTCGATTTGTCACAATTACCTAGCACTCTGTCCCTAATTCCAGCCATTGCTTACTCGTTAGTCCCAAAATACGCGAGCAATGCTTTCAAGACACCTTTGGTTGAATACTAGTAACCTACAAAGATCCTCTATTCTTAATGACTGTTTCATACCCATGAAGCAGAACGGAGCGAACTGTTGTTGCATTGTTGCTTAAGGTGGTCGGAAGACTGCATTTTGTCAGCATCTTCACCAAACAGAGCTATATCATCTGCGTATTCTAAGTCAGTAACTGAATATCCTGGTAGAAGATCAATCCCTGAAAAGTCAGAAGATGAAATTATTATATCTAAAAGCATATATATGACAAAGTTAAGAATCAGGAAGACAGACAACCCTGACGAACACCACCTGAAGTAACCAATTGCGATGACAGTTCACCATGAGCTCTGACTAGACCAATAGTGTTCCAGTAGAAAGCCTGTACAAGGTTAATGTACTTGTTTGGTAAACTATTCAACAACAGACATCGTCACAGGACCTCACGATTAACGGAATGGAACGCCACCTTAGGGTCAAGAAATACAACTGTAGTCAGACGTTGAAAAGTATGTCTGTGTTCCAGAATTTGCCGAAGGGTGAATATTCGGTCAATAAATTCATGTCCAGGTTTGAAACCAGCCTGGTTTTCTTGAGTTTGCTCTTCACGGACTTTGGTTAGATATGAAATTATTATTGAGGTTAATATTCTATACACTATATCGGTGAAAATGATTTCTTTGTGATTATCACAAGACGATTGTTGTCCTATCAGTGATGGAGACCAGTCAGATGGGATCACGCCTAGTTCCCAGATTCCAGCTATGATCTCGATTAATGTAACTGCTAAAACTGGACTACCACTCTTTAAGATCTCGGGTTAATCCGTCAGAAACTGCTGCTCTCCCTAGCTTCAGATTGCTGATAGCCTTTTCAACCTCACTAATAGTTGGAGGACTTACATCAGTTTGCAATTCATGTTGCTTGGAGATAGTGGGTAACTGAATGGTGCTTGAAAACCGTTTGAACTGTTCTCTAAATTGTTCTGCCTGTAGGTCCAATCTCCTGGATTAAAAGTTGGTAATATTCTCACTAACAGCCGAATTTTTAATATCTGTTTCTTTGGTACGTCTAAACAGCTGTCTATGGTTACCTATCGCCACTGCCTTTTCCATCTCTTCTGCTTTTGCTACCTACCACTGCTCACGATTACTGAGTAGGCTTTTTATCAGCCTTAGTTTAGGCCGCCTCCGCGCCACGTCATGTTCAAAGCCAGATGGTCTAAATTTCCGAGCATCTATCAGTCCAGTAGACGCCGCTGAAATCCACTGATTTTTCCTAACCTTTACTGGTAGATATCACTGCTGTTTTCACAGCTCTTTGAATATCATGCCAAGCTACCTCAGGGAGAATATCATTTTCACTATTGATTAACTCTTTCTCTAGTTGTTCCTAAAATATATCCTCAACTTTTTCATTACTAAGTTTGACTCTAAGGTGTTTTGTTGCTATTGGTTTTTTCTGTCAAGTAAGACTCAGATACGTACGTGCTCGGATAAGTGCATGATCTGAGTCTAAATATGTACTCTAAAATGGACGAGTCATATATCGAGCCCATCCAACAGTGGTTGATGGCAACGTCATCTATTTGAGTCCATTGTTCGTTTGATTATGGAGGTTGCCACGTAGACGATGTTTTACCATATGCTTAAGGTTGGTGCTTGCTAGAAATAGAAATTTATCTGAACGTGATTGCAACAGACGGTCTCCATTATCTGTTCGCCGAGCCGCAACACTATAAGATCCATCCAAGTGCTTGGCTACTAAAATCACTAGACACTTACTACATCAGAGAATTTAACTTTTTCGAATGAAATTGGAAAGCTTCATATAAAGTTCATCTTTTACTTTATCCCAGCTGCAATCGGTGTGAGCGTAAGCAGCGACAAAGAATAGGCAATGATATGTATCCCTATCTTTCCGAGTTCTTACTGTTCCGTTTAGTCAGACAGCGCACATGCAACCGTCTATTGGAATGCGTGATGGTAAATATATGTGAGAAGAGTTATTTGCGGGGATAGGAGAATTAATAATAAATGAGGGAGGGATTTGACCGTGAAAATGATGATCCCGGGCGCTGTTAGAGGTATGAGGACAGTTGCCACTTCCAGGTTGCTCTCATCGTAGAAGGATATCTCTTCTTGAGATACGTGAAAGATAAACTGGATTAGTGGTGATCTTAACGACCTGGGAGCGTAACCACAGAGCACAAGAAACAACTGCTTGAGGTCGGTAGCACATGGTCTTTTTATGGTAGGTTTATGATGTATTAGCTCTCCACTTCAAAAGTTCTTTCTATCGAAGACGGAAATCCGAGGGTTAAGGTCACAAGTGACGTATTGGGGTCGATCTTATCTAGCCCTTTCCTTTCGTTGTTCGAAGGAAACACCTTACTGCTGTTACAAACCTTTTCAGTCAGCAGTGTGACTTCGCTTTCGGACTTTAAGTTGCTACTTTCAGTGTTACCACTCTCGAACCAACCCGCCTGGCATGATAGGACCTAGAGGGACATGTGTTCTGGCCAATATAGCTCTGTTGAGTCATCACTATAGATAAGCCTTACCACTACGTCACAGTAGCAGCTACTGTTGGGACACCCTCAATCAGATTCACTATGATTTACTGTTTATGGGTAGTATATGAGAAAATGTATTCGAGTATCGCTAGTAAACACCTTTGTTGAATCACAGCTAATAAACAGTGCTTTCAAACCTAAATCTAACCATTTGAGCATGGGAAGGATTTTCTTAGGTATTTTGAGGGGTGCTCCTCAAGTGTGTGATCATCTTTCCCATTAGGAGATTATTTATATTACTTATAGCTCACTTTTTGGGCTTTTAGGTCGATTCTCAAACACTAGAAGTCTCAAATAAGCAACAGATGACGTTATGTTATTTGAGTGTATATTCCAGACCATTGATTAACTTAATGTTAGAACTACATGCTATACAGTTATTCTCCTTGTCAATCAATTAGTCAGTCAGCTACAACGTTGAACCAGGCACATATATGCATCGGTTCAAGTTGCCACACCTCGTTAGCACAACAACATGAACACCGAATTCATAGTAGTTACTTCAATGGTAGTAATATATAAAAGAAAGATTGCATATAAGGATATAATACAGGAAGAAAGAATTAGTTGGTGGAAAGAAAGATAAGAAGAAATTTTAATCTCACGGTTTAAAGGAAGACAAAGACTGTATATATCTACGCCATTGTGATCGATTCTGTGCCATGTCACCGAGAGTCTCCAACCATTGGTTAAGATAGTCGCGCAGACCCCAACCAAGTAGTCTGCGTCTACCAACATGGCTCAGACCGGAAGTTAGTGACTTCAAGGACTGATGCCATGTTTTGGTTTGGCTGCCTCTAACTTTCTTCCAACCATCCCCAACACTAGCCAGCTTTGTGCGTCGTGGTAATCGGTGTTCAGGCATACGTAACACGTGACCCAACCATCTCAGTCGATGAAGACTCACAACCTCATCAACCGAATAACCACCATTCTCTCATACCCTGCGTCAAACCTCACCATTACTTACCCGGTGATCCCAGCAGATGCGAATACTAGTGGCTTACGAGTATCTTCTACACTTAATGGCCACGTTTCGCATCCGTAAAGTAGAACGGAACGAGCCGTCGCGCAGTATACTCGTCCCTTAATTGATAAACGGATATCTCGCCTTCGCCATGGGTGACGTAAGTTGGCAAAAGCCGAACGAGCCTTCTGAATCCGTACTGAGATTTCGTCAGATACCAACCCATTCGGGTTGATCAAACTTCCAAAATAAGTGTTGTCGACACGTTCGACTACTTCACTCCCTATCCCTAGTTCAGGTGTTGACGCAGGCCAGTCCTGAAGCAACAACTTCCATTTAGAGGGAGAGAAACGCATACCAAACATCCTGGCATTGCTGCTCAGTGCTACCAATACTCGGAATTCGGTCGGCGTCTTCACCAAACAGGAATATCATCTGCGTAATCTAAGTCGACAAGTGGACTTCCTGGTAGGAGGTCAATGGCCAAGAATTCAGTCGATGAGAACGTTATTTCCATCAGTATGTCTATGATGAAGTTGAACAAAAAGGGGAGATAGTGGACAGCCTTGTTGGACACCACCTGAGGTTGTAAAAGCAGACGACAGTTTGCCATAAGCTCTGGCTCAACTTGTAGTGTTCAAGTAAAGAACCTTCACAAGGTTTATGCGATTTTGAGGTATACCTTTCAATGACAGACACTGCCACAGAATCTCTCGGTCTACAAAGTCAAATGCTGCTTTTAAGTCAAGAAAGACCACTATTGTTGGACGCCAATAAGCTGCTTGTGTTCTAAAGTCTGAGGAATGGTGAATATGTGGTCGATACAGCCACGACCAGGTCTGAAGCCATCTTGATTCTCTCGTGTTCTCAGTTAACGGGTCTTAGTTAGGCATCCGACGATTATTGAGGTTAGTATTTTAGATGCTATGTTAGTCAAACTAATCCTTCTATGGTTATCACAGGATGATTTTAACCCCCTCTTGTATATTGGGTCAATCAGTGATTGTGACCGATCAGGTGGGCTTACGTCCAACTCCCAGATTTTAGCTAAAATATTAGACAACCTAATCACTAAAACTGGGCCATCATACTTAAAGACCTTTGGAACCAATCCATCTGCGCCAACTGTTCTTCCTCGCTTCAGATTAGATATAGGCTTTTGGACTTCAGCTGGAGTCGGGAGACCTACTTCAGTGTTCCATTCAGACTGTCTGGGAATGGTGGATAGTTGTAGAGTAACAGAAGGTCAGCTGAACTACTCCTTAAAGTGTTCCGCCCATCGTTCTAAACGTCTGGACTAAGAGCAGATAAAAGTGTCGTCTTTTTTCGAGATAGTCTCACTTATACTCGACTCATTAATTTCAGTTTCTTTTATTAGTTTGGAATGCTGTATTGTGTTTCCTACAGCCGCTGCCATCTCTCCTTAAACGTTTTTAATTTTGTCTGAATAACATCTCATTCATTAGTGTTCTTTTCTTTTTCCGCTTAGATATTTTTGGGTTTGACAACTCATGAAATCAACATTTGTATCTTGCGTGAGAACGTTGTTAAAGCCCAGTAAGTTTCAACTGTACTTCTGTAATTATTCCGTTCTTCACTTAACTCAGGAAAATCTTATACATAGTTAGTTTCATATCAGTTCAGGTCTCCTGTCTGTCAAGAGCTTATCTTGACATCCCAATAGTTGTAATTCAGTAATCATATGTAGATTTTCTCATCATTTTAAGTTTGAGTTATGAAAATAGTGTTCAATTCAAAGTCACTTGAACAAAATATTTGATTGCAAATATACAGTCATATTAACATTTTAAAAGCCTGAAAATCCTTAAATAACTATTTAATGGATAAGTCGTCTATCATCAGTCATGTACAGCTAATGAGTGCTACTTAATAGATTTCATCTTTCCTCTATTACTTACCAAGCGTGTATATATATATATATATATATATATATATATATATATATATATATATATATATACTAGTGTACAGCCATGATGAAAAACCAATTGAAGAATGTTTTTTGCTTCCTTCCCCTCAGTTTTTACTTTGAATTTATTTTTGTTTTCTAACTTTAATAGAAATTGTTCGGCTGATAATAAACCTTTCTGTATTACTTATTTGTCAGTTCTTCGGGAGTATATTGATTTGGAATTTACGGAATTAAAGGTTGGTAATTAGTGTTTTCTGTTTTAAGTTTTAGAGATATAAGTTGACTGAGATTGACTAATTGATTAAATTAGGAAGAATTTGTGTATTGAGCCGATTTTCAACGAATTCTTTACAAAATAAAATAACATGGAATACGCGTTGTTGTATGCATGTATGTTATGTATGATGAAGAATCGTAAATCAAACGGACAACTTTTAGTGATGCTGGTGGTGGAGGCGGTATATTTTCGCTGGGCAGTACAGTTTAATTATAAAGATTTTATTGTTGTTCTGTACAACACTAGTGCCCATTTCAAATAGTAGAATTGCACTTAATCACTTCAAAACTCCCCTGTAAAAATTTATATAAAAAGTACATTTAGCTAATGTAGTCAAACATCAATCTATAAACATTCCATACTTTTCATAAAGCATACTCAAACATTATCTTCTTAGACCGTCCACAAGTATCGATAACGAATTAGTTAGGCTTATATATCTAGAACATTTTTATTGGTAAAATATTTGTTGAACTATTTCTTAACGTTTATTTAAACTAATTTCATTGTTCTGTTAAAAATGTTTTACTATTTCAATTACTGAAAATATCAATTTAAGTCAAATATTTCGAAAATTTTACAATTAACAACATTCTTTTCGTTTAAATAATGTATTTCTAATGCAGAAGACATTGCCGTTTCCTTATGATTTGGAACGCCTGATCGATGATTGGGTTTTTATGGCTTTTCTATTGGGAAATGATTTCATACCTCACATACCTAATTTGCATATACATGCGGAGTCTTTGTTAACTGTCTGGGATACATATCAAGTTGTATTACCGAAATTGGACGGTAAGTTTTATTTAATCTATTCACATTATCTTTACTTTTTATCAATCCTTTAACCAGTTGATTGAAAACAAAATCGTTTTCTTGAGAAGCTCTATCACAAAATGTACAGAGTTCAAAAGATTTATCTTAAAGTTGCTGGAGAAACTTAAATTTCACTATTTATTTACTAGCCTCCATTGATTAAAAACAGACCGATCGGGATACACCAAACATACTGCTGTTAAAAGTTTGTCCTCCTAACGACAATACTTGTCAAAAAGTTTTCCCGTTGGTCTTGAGTTAAAATCTAGTATAAATACCTATTTTTCTTTTAGGAAGCATATACTTTTTTGTAATAATCTTCAAGGGGTAACAAACACATATTATCTAAAATTTATAATACAATCCATTGCGTTAATAATGTGGTTTTGTATATTATTGTTTTACTTCTGAATTAAGAAATAACTAAAAGGTTTCGTACACTTTAGTAAATTCATTAATATCGTTCTAGTGATGTAGTTAAATATTTTTGACTCGATAGTATATTAAGAGTACTGTGTGGAATTTTCAAAAAAGATATTAATTACTAGCTACATATGTGTACAGTGAGTAGGGCCTAGTAGGCAGAAGTAGCTAAAGTTGTCTGAAAAGAATAATGAAATTGAAAGTACATATTAGTAGCATAATAGCACTACTCTATATGTGACTAGTAAGTTAGCTACTCGGATAAACGTTTGTTTTCATTAGTAACTAAACCAGAGAAATGATTTCCAGTCGTAGAATATTTGCAGTTGTAACAGAACAAACATTTATTTAGCTTGTTTCCCACCATTTGATACTATTTTTTGTGTAAATTAGCTTCTTATCATTAGTATTATTTTCGGACATATGTCTTTAACAATAGGTTACCTTGTGGAGTTTGGATATTTAAATCTTCCACGATTTCATAAATATCTGGAAGAACTTTCTCAGGTTAGTAATTTTCCTTTTAATTTACATTATTTTAAAATGCATTATATATATATATATATAATTTCGCTGAGGTACGTTTATTCTTTAAAATACGGAATCGATAAGGTTTCCTGTAATGGTTTACGACAAAATTACCCTTTTATTTGATTTACTAGCGGTCATGAACATGGTAACCAGCAATCAATTATTTGTTCACGGTTTACGTACTTTGTATTTAAACTACAAAAGTCTAATGTAGTGGAATGAAGTCTGTTAGTACTATCCTTGCCAAATTCAAGCACTATCACAAGGAGAACGGTAACCAAATTGTAAAAACTGTAGAATGTTTCCGCTTCAGAAAGACAGGTTTTCTTAAGCGCATGGCGGAATAAGTTTCACTAAAACCATCTATACCGAACTCCACAATTCGATAAACACAGCCACTCCACCAGTAATCTACACCTTCATACTTCGCTTTAATTTTCTGCATATAAAAAGTGCTCTCGTGCTGCACCACTCCATGATCTACCTAGTAACTTGAAATCCCGAGTAGTTTCCGGTGGTTTATATTTCCATATGAATACAAATTTATGCTCCCGTTTATGCTAACATGGTATGTGCGAAGCATGTAGCGTAGGTTTGGTTTTTTCTGAAGTGTTTGGTCAGTCTGATCTATATGTTATAGAATAATAGAGCTACTTTGTTTACAGAAAAATGTATTCCTCCTATAGTATATTAGTTTTTATCACTTTTCAGTTTGAGCGTGATTGGTTCGAGGAACGTGAAGCAGCTTTCCATTGGATGCGAGGAAAACAAGGTGCTCGTATGGCAAATGAACTGGAAAAACTCGGTCTATCATCTAAGGATAATCAGATGCCATCTCATAAACCTCTCAGTTCAACAGGGAAACGTTTCCCCGAAATGACTAAAAGTAGTTTATTAGATAAGAAAGATGGTAAGTGTTGTGGTTTTGTTGCTTTTTTAACGGCACACTGAATGGAATACATCGTTATTAACTTATCACTATTGGTTTTGTTGAAACCGAGGGGTTTTTATAAATGGTTCTCATAGCTTGCTTTCAAATAATCGTAAAACCCGGTTAATTTAGACATTTTAGTTATTTCTTAAGAAATTAGTCAAACTAAGTGTCATATAATCACGTTCACCATAGCGACCTGTTGATTAAGTGTGTAACGACGCTGTTATCGGCGTAGACTTGATATACTTACATTGATGCAATGTTGATAAAAGATTGCCTAAACAAAAGTTAGAGCGATTAGAAATTATTAGCTTTACTTTCAGCGTTGATAATCATAACTCGTTAGAAGTTATCACCTAACTTACTTTTGAAAATCATGAGTAATCTGTTACACAGTGTGTTTATTCGTATTAATACTAAATTTTTCTAAAATCTATTTCCATACTGCAGAATAAACATAGAAGTGAGAATCGTAGCCAGTGGTTTGGTGTTTATAGTTAAGCCTATTTACTTTCAAGCTTCCTAGTTGTATCGTATAGTTCTCTCATATTTCCTGTTTCTGTAGCTTTTCCCGCTGTAGTTGCTAGGTCTTTCACATATTCCAACTTACTAACCCTAATAGTCTTTTTTTCTAGTTTTTCTTTGTTTCTGTATGTTCAGGTCGTTCCTAGGCTTTCTCTGCTTTTGCTTGGCTGTTGTTGACAATAGTCTTCTTGTTTTGCGTCGCTTGAATCTTGTTCAGTATATTGCTGGAATCCCGTCCCTTATTATGGTGCTTCTCAAGGCTCAGCACCTGACGTGTTGAAGTTATTACTTTTTTAATCCCTTTTCTGTCATTCCCCATGATGATTTATTGTTCCATGAGTAGATCTTATAAAGCTGGGAATTTGTTATCGGGAGTTATCTTGAATTCGCCGAAGTTATTATGTCGAAGAACTTACTTACTTACTTACGCCTGTTACTCCCAATGGAGCATAGGCTGCTGACCAGCATTCTCCAACCCACTCTATCCTGGGCCTTCTTTTCTAGTTCCATCCAATTCTTGTTCATTTTTCTCATGTCTATCTCCATTTCTCGGCGTAATGTGTTCTTTGGTCTTCCTCTTTTCCTTTGACCTTCAGGATTCCATGTGAGGGCTTGTTTTGTGACGCAGTTGGGTGCTTTCCTCAATGTGTGTCCTATCCACTTCCAGCGCTTCTTCCTGATTTCTTCCTCCGCTGGGATCTGGTTTGTTCTCTCCCACAGTACGTTGTTGCTAATAGTGTCCGGCCAATGGATCTGAAGTATTTTGCGTAGACAATTGTTAATAAACACCTGTATTTTCTGGATGATGGCTTTTGTAGTTCTCCAGGTTTCTGCCCCATACAGTAGAACTGTCTTGACATTTGTATTGAAAATCCTGACCTTGGTGTTGGTTGACAGTTGCTTTGAGTTCCAGATGTTCCTCAGTTGTAAATATGCTGCTCTTGCTTTGCCGATCCGCGCCTTCACATCTGCATCAGATCCACCCTGTTCATCAATGATGCTGCCCAAATACGTAAAGGTTTTTACATCTTCCAAATCTTCCCCGTCAATTGTGATTGGATTGGTGCATTCTGTGTTGTATCGGAGAATCCTGCTTTTCCCTTTGCGTATATTGAGACCTATTGCTGCTGAGGCTGCTGCCACACTGTTTGTCTTCTCCTGCATCTGTTGTTGCGTTTGGGATAGAAGGGCCAGATCGTCTGCGAAGTCTAGATCATCCAACTGCATCTTAGATGTCCATTGTATCCCGCGCTTTCCTTCAGACGTTGACGTCTTCATGATCCAGTCGATCACCAGGAGAAAGAGAAAGGGTGAGAGTAAGCAACCTTGCCTAACACCGATCTTCACTTTGAACGACTTTGTCAACTGTCCTCCATGCATGATTTTGTAGTTTAATCCATCATATGAGTTCTGTATAATATTGACTATCTTCTCAGGCACGCCGTAGTGTCGAAGAAGTTTCCATAGTGTTGTTCTGTCCACGCTATCAAATGCCTTTTCGTAGTCAATGAAGTTGATGTAGAGTGATGAATTCCATTCAATTGATTGTTCCACAATGATCCGTAGAGTTGCGATTTGGTCTGTACACGATCTATCCTTACGGAATCTTGCCTGTTGGTCACGAAGTTGGGCGTCTACGCAGTCCTTCATCCTGTTTAACAATACTCTGTTGAAGACTTTTCCCGGTATTGAGAGAAGAGTGATGCCCCTGTAGTTATCACACTTGCTGAGATCGCCTTTCTTCGGTATTTTGATCAGTAGTCCTTCTTTCCAGTCTGTTGGTACTTGTTCCTCATCCCAAATCTTATTGAAGAGAATATGGAGTATCCTTGCAGTTGCCGCTACGTCTGGTTTTAGTGCCTCTGCTGGGATGTTGTCCGGTCCTGCTGCTTTGCCACTCTTGATTTGTCTGATGGCCATGCTGATTTCTTCAATTGTTGGTGGGCCAACATTGATTGGGAGGTCCGTGGGTGCTGCTTCGATGTTGGGTGGGTTCAGTGGAGCTGGTCGATTCAACAGTTCTTTGAAGTGTTCTACCCACCTGTTTCGTTGCTCTTCAATGTTGGTGATTACGTTGCCTTCCTTGCTTTTCACTGGTCGTTCTGGTTTGCGGCGATTTCCAGAGAGTTTCTTTGTCGTGTCATACAATTGTCTCACGTTTCCTTCTCTTGCAGCCTTTTCCGCCGTCGTTGCTAAATCTTCCACGGCGGAAAAGGCTGCATGTCGAAGAAAGTCTGTATTAAACCTTTGTAATGCTGTTTGTTCAGTTATCCAGTGTTTCTTTAGCTTCAGTTTTAGCTTGACCACCATCAGATGGTGACCTGAAATTATATCAGCTCATCTCTTTGCTTTCAGGTCTTCTATGGACTTGAACTTTTGTTATGTAAAGAGTTTGATTATCTGTAGTGTGGTCCGGTGAATCTCATGTAGCTTTGTACACGTGTTTTTGGAAGAAAATATTGCTGTAAGTATACCTATCTACCGGTCACTCACCTTTCTCGGCCCTTTCTTTTAATTCATATTTCCCCATAATGAGTTCCTACCCAGCGTTGTCCATCCTGACCTTGGCGTTTACGTCTCCCATCATCAGGATGGTCGTTTTTTTCTGAGTAGTTCTCTATGATAGGTTACAGCCTCGTGAAACTGATCTTTATAGTCTCCACTGCTCCCATTGATGGGCACGTACCACGTAGCATTGTTATCCCTTCCGTCTTTTTTAATCCGTCTTTGATGATCCTGGAGCCATGAGATTCCCATCCTATAAGTGCTTTTCGGGCTTCTTTGGATAATATGAATTCGACTCTTTGTGTATGCGTGACACTTTATTATTCATAACCAGATCACAAAAACACCTGTCTCGAAGCAAGTATTTTCTGTTCATTTTGTGTTCATCGGTTTTCACCTATTCCAAGCAGAAGAAAGTAAAAACAAGAAGACAGCTATTAACAGCAGCCGAACAAGAACAGTGAAAGTCAAGGTATAAGCTAAGTACACAAAAGCAAACAAGCAAGTGAAGAAGAGCAATAGAGCTGATAAACAGAAATATGTGGAAGATGTAGCAACGACATCAGGACAAGCTGTAAGAAAAGGAAATATGAAACAACTGCATGACACGACGAAGAAACTGATAGGGAAATATACTAAACCAGTGAGACTGTCCAAGAACGAGGAAGACAAGCTAATCACTGAGATTCAAGAACAGAGGAACAGGTGAGTAAAACACTTTGTTTAAGGAACTCCGGACATCGGAGCGACACCTACAGACCTTCCTATAGATGTCACTCCACTAACGGTGGAAGATGTTAGGATGGCCATCGGACAAATTAAGCGTGGGAAAGCAACAGGACCTAACAATAAACCAGTTAAAGCATTGAAGCCAGACATAAGTAACTGCAAAGATGCTCCACGTTCTATTCAGGAAAATTTGGAAGGCCGAACAAGTGCCGACGGACTGGAAAGGATACCTCATCACAATACCAAAGAAAAATATGAGCAAATGTGAGGACTACAGAGGCATCACACTACTATCGGTACCAGGAAAGGTTTTCAACAAAGTGTTGCTGAACCGGATGAAAGATTCAGTAGACGCCCAGTTTCGAGATTAGTAGGATGGACTCCGTAAGTATTGGTCGTGCGCAGACCAGATCTAGACACTATGGGTCCTTATTGAACAATCAATTGAATGGAACTCGTTACTATACATCAACTTCCTTGACTATGAGAAAGCGTTTGTCAGTGTGGATAGGAGAACATCATGGAAACCTCTTTGACACTAGGATGTACCTGAGAAGATCGTTAACATCGTACAAAATTCTTAGGATGGACTACACTGCAAAGTGCTGCATGGAGGACAGCTGACAGATGCATTCCAAGTAAGGACCAGAGTCAGACAAGGCTGCCTACTGTCCCCCCTTTCTCTTCCTTCTAGTGGTCCACTGGATTATGAGGACCACTTCTCATGAGAAGTACAGAATATAATGAACAGATTTTATGCGGCTAGACGATTTGGATTTCGCAGATGACCTAGTTCTTCTATCCCATGCACACGAACAAATGCAGGTGAAGACAACCAGTGTAGCAGTAGCCTCTGCATCAGTAGGCCTCAACATACACAATGTAAAAAGCATGATCCTCAATTACAACACGGGGAACACCAACCCAATCATACTTGATGGGGAAACGTTGAAAGAGGAGGAAACTTTCACGTACCGGGTCACTATCATCGATGAATAAGGAAGATCAGATGTAGATATGAAAGTAAGGATTGGCAAAGCAAAGACAACATTCCTACAGTTGGAGAACATATGAAACTCAAAACGTCTGTCAACCAACGTCAAGATCAGAATCTTCAATACGAACGTCGCGACAGTTCTACCGTGCGGTACTAAAACTTGAAGAACGACCACCACCGTCATTAAGATACTACAATTATCTATCAACAATTGTCTACGTAAGATACTGATTGTCCGTTGGTCGAGTACCATTAGCAACAACTTACTGTGGGAGAGAACAAACCAGGTTCCATCTGATGAGGAAATTAGGAAAAGACTTTGGAAACGGATATGACATGCATTACGAAAATCACCAAGCTGCATCACGAAGGAAGCGCTAATCTGGAATCCTGAAGCTGAACGGAAAAGAAGACCAAAGAATACGCTGCTCCGAGAAGTATAAGCAGACATGAAGAGGATGGATAGCAACTGTGAAGGATTGCCGAGGACATAGTTGGATGAAGAATGCTGATGGGCAACCCATGCTCCTCGACGAGGGGTAAAAGGCGTAATTAGGTATGTATTTCAAACAGAGCCACGTTATGTCTTCTCATTTCCACAGCTGTTTGAATGGTCTTCGCTGTCACCCACACTGTGCAGATATTCCATGTTCCTATGTTAACTGTTACTCTGAATGTCAGTAGGTGCATCAAGCTCATGGTTTCCGAAGAATCTCGGCTTTCAAAGTGAGACATCATAAGTCTTCTAATTAAAGATCCTTCAACTCCTAGTTCAATGTCCAAATAGTTTAGATGATTTTTTTGATCGTCAGCTTTCCGGCAAGTTTTTTAACTATAGAGTGGAGTTGATAACCCCATACTCAATCATCTTCCTTTATCCGGGTTTTGGACTGCAACAGTACTGGAGGGCTCCTGGCGGAGCAGAGTATCTTAAATGATAATGTCATTTTTAACTTTTTATTTGTCGTTGACATTAATCTTACTAATCTGTGTGACTGTCATTTTGTACATGTGTGAATAAAAAACAATCGGTTTAAATCTATTCCACTTCGCACGGTTTTCACAAGTCTTTCGTATCGACGGCTTTGTACCCATTCTTTATGGTTTATTGCTTGAGCCATCTAATACTTCCTGCTGAATTAGACTTTCTTATTAGCAATAATAACTTCGAAGTCACTATGCAGAGTTCTTCAAATGGACGTAGTCTTTATCCATCGCAGATCACTATGGATGGAAATTTCGTGTTTACTTTTTACTCCTAGTAGTAGTTTTGTACGATGTTTCAGCTACTGTGTTTAATAAGTGACCGTTTAGCGACACAGTTTCCAACCCGAACACAAATTAACACATAGCTTAGATCTTTATAGTACAAAATATCAATAATAGGTTTATAAATAATTCATAAGCGTTTGTGAACGGGAAAAATATGACACGAGTTGTTAGGTCAACTGAGAGATTAGCGCTAAGACAAGATTAAAATACTACCATAAATCAATTATTCGATAAGTGTGCATTGAAAATATATCAGCTAGTTCACTGGGCGACAGTTTCTAAAGTTTTCTCTTTACATCTACTCACTTATCTATTATGGAAAATGTGTGTAAATTTACAACGATTTATTCAAATCTGTTTTCATCTATTATGGAACGCTCTATGTAGAACACTCAAAAACAAATACGAATTAAACAATTCACTTTGTGGATACAAAAGCGAAAATATTCTTCGTTGAAACCTTACCTTTCCGAACTGGCTCCAGTTAAAGTTTTTTCTCTCCCGACTAACGGTATTTCCAATGTCACTAGTTGACAAACACGTTAGAAAAAATAAACCTTGTTACACAGAAAGTTAAATGATCCTATCTTTAGTTCAGTTTGTACTATAGTATATCACTGAACTACTTCTACAACATTTATCTTAGTATTTTTATTTTGTAGATTTCGATCAATTGACTGATTTTATAGATTTATTCGCACCTCAATCTGATTGTCAATATGATAATGTTATGTTAGATGAAGCCGCTGAATTAATGGAAGAAGGTGTTGTTGTTTCATTAAGGACACATGATGATAAAGTCAAGCAGTTATATAATAAAAGTGATCCGTCCAATAGAACTTCCCATAATAATACACATAACACAATAGGCGATAATCATGCTCATGAGAATAATATAGATGATGAAACAGAAGAGGAAATAGAAGAAGACGAGAATGTCACCTATGTTGAAAGTGATACAGATCTAGATGAAGATTTATTAGTTTATAAAATGCATCGACGTGATTATTATTCCTCGAAACTTGGTATACAACTCGATGAGATGTCAGGTGATCTTGGTGAAGATTCCACATTAATGTCTTTAATTCAAGATTATATCCGAATGTTACAATGGATATTGAATTATTACTTTCTAAATGTGGCTGATTGGGATTTTTTCTATGCTTATCACTATGCACCATTTGTGCATGATCTTATTTTATATACAAAAAAGTTTGAGAATTATCAAAATTTCAATGGTATTAAATTGTCTTGGACAAACTTTCAAACAAATTCACAACCAGTTTTACCGTTTGTTCAACAATTAATGATATTACCATCGGATTCAGCTTATATAGTTCCAGCACCTTATTGGGAATTAATGATTTCTCCATCTTCCCCATTAGCTGAATTCTTTCCTAGAGAATTCGAAACTGATATAAATGGGAAAATAGCATCATGGGAGGCTGTAGTGGTAAGTCTATTAACACTGCGTAAATATGCATGCATGATTCCATCGGAAAGGGTATCGAATTATTGATAAAACTTTTAAATAAATTTGTGTAAGGTTTGGAGAAATGATATGTTGAATTCTTTTTTCTCTTAAGCTAACCAATGAGCTGCTGACAAATTTTTCGGAAGGTTCTCTGTTATTTTTAGATAAATGACTAACCTAAATAAATATATTACAAACGAAAACCTTTTTGTTCAGCTGGAATTTCATCAGCATAACGCCAGTGTTATGTTTTCGCTAGGAATGCATTGAATTTTTTTATTGGAATTACTTGAATAAAAGGTGTTCGAAATTTTAAGCATACAGAATTATCATTTACGTATGAGGTTTTTCACATTGAAATCCCATTCAATAAATGCTAGCAATAGATTGATAATTTTGATAAATTAGTGTGACGGCGAACCACCGGTGAACTCGAGGAAGCTGTAAGAGGCTCATAAGGAGCCGAAGACGTTCCATCCAATCACCTTTCGGAAGAATGTTCTAGAATTCCAACGTGTAGCTTCCCCATTGGATAATGCTAATAACCCCCTGTACGCGGATTGGAAGACTGTAATGATGATTTCGTTCTCACTAAAAACTATAAATACCTGACAATTTTGTACTATGTTTGACACTGTTTGGAATAATATTCCTTTCGTTAGTCTTCTGTCTTCTTATTTGCGAATTGGAAGGGTTTGGTGTTCTAGTGCTCAGTTATACGCGGTAGTATCAAGAAAAATCAGCTTTTTTCAAGTTATAACATCTGGCGACGGGTTATTGTATCAATATGTCACTTACCTTGGAACAATTTGAAGCCTTATTGGAACGCCAAGAACAGTTCCAGATGCGCATGTTAGAGATGCTAACGCAGAAAATGAACCTGGATCAAAAAGAAGTTACAGATGATCCCTTCAAATCTCATGTTGACCAGATTGTTAATTCTATCCATGAATTTAATTTTGATGGTTCAGCTGGCATCACTTTTGAAACTTGGTTCAAGAAATATGAAGATTTGTTCAAGGTCGACCTCAAAAAACTTGATGATGCCGCTAAGGTCAGAATACTCTTGCGAAAACTTGGAACTGTTGAACATGAACGTTATAGTAACTTTATCCTTCCAAAGAATCCAAGAGATTTTTCTTTTGATGCAACGATTGAAATTTTGTCGCAAATCTTTGCTGAACAGTCATCCTTGTTTAATATTCGTTATCAATGTCTCAAGATGACAAAAGCAGGTGATGATGATTGGGTGAAACATGCGGGTTTAGTAAACCGTGAATGTGAGCGTTTCAAACTATCAGCAATGACAGAAGACCAGTTTAAGTGTCTCGTATTTGTGTGCAGCCTCCAATCTCCCGAAGATGCCGATATTAGAACTAGAATTTTGAGTAAAATTGAACAATGTCCGAATATGACACTACAAGAAGTAACCGCAGAGTGCCAGAGATTGGTGAACCTAAAGCATGACACTTCGATGGTCGAAAATAATGGCCAGTTGCCATACGTTCGTGCTGTAAGCGGAAAGAACGATTCTTGCGCAAGAAAGGCATCGCACACAGATAATCAGCCTTCATCTCCATGTTGGTCTTGTGGTGGTTGACATTATAAAAGGTTCTGCCCATATAAAGAACATTGTTGTAGCAAGTGTCATCGCAAGGGACATAAAGAAAACTGCTGCAGAAAAAGAACCCATAAACGACATCCTTTGAAACCCTACTCGAAGAAATACAGATTTAGTGCTCGAACTAACAAAATATTGGTATCACGTAATCGAGCACGAATTTGCCGCCAAAGAAAGTATGTGAACTTGGATATAAATAAAAAGAGTGCCTGCCTGCAACTTGACACCGCTTCTGACATCACACTTATTAGTCGGAGAACTTGGAATCTTATCGGTAAACCACAGGTGCTCCCAACAACCCAGTTAGCTCACAGCGCATCTGGAGGAAAACTAAATATTGTTGGAGAGGTTTGTTGTACAGTCTCGAAGGGAAATGCGAAAACGAATGGAACTTTATATCTTACACAGAATCCAGGACTAGATTTGCTAGGTCTAGACTTGATAGAAGCACTTCAATTAGCAAATCACCCCATTAACCACATATGCAGCGCAGTGAGAATCAGTAAACCGGTGGAAAAGGATCTGAAGAGTGTTGTATTGGAAAGACACAGTCAAGTGTTTACGGAAGAGTTGGGGGAATGCAAAAAAGTTAAAGCACTATTGATTCTTAAACCGGGAGTCACCCCCGTCTTCAGACCAAAACGTCCGGTACCCTATGCAGCACTACCTATTGTTGAACAAGAATTAGAGCGTCTGCAAAGAAGTGGAATAATCGAACCAGTAAACTTTTCTGATTGGGCAGCTCCAATAGTGATTGTTAAAAAGCCTAATGGAAGTATCCGGTTATGTGCAGATTATTCGACTGGATTAAATGAAGCGCTTGAAGCCCATCAATACCCATTGCCGGTACCAGAGGATTTATTTGCGAAACTGAATGGGGGTAAGTATTTTGCGAAATTAGACCTATCAGACGCTTATCTACAGATTCCGGTAGCGGATGAGTGTAAGCATTACTTGACAATAAACACTCACAAGGGATTGTTCCGATATAACCGGCTTCCTTTTGGAGTAAAGACTGCCCCTTCAATCTTCCAACAAGTTATGGACACTATGTTACAAGACATTCCTGGTACCGCGGCTTATCTCGATGATATATTGATCATGGGTACAGACTATGCTGATTTAGAAAATAAGGTGGATACGGTTCTCAGACGCATAGCAGATTATGGATTAAGACTGCGTGCCGAAAAATGTGATTTTTACATGGAGCAAGTCCGGTATTTGGGATTCATAATTGATAAAAACGGGAGAAAACCTGATCCTGAAAATGTCGAAGCCATTAAGTCCATGCCTCCACCGACGGATGTGTCAACTTTACGTTCTTTCTTGGGAATGGTTAGTCATTATGGAGTTTTTCTGCCAGATCTGCATCGCCATCGTGCTCCTCTTAATTGCTTATTGAAAAAGGATACTAAATGGTTCTGGTCAACTGAATGCCAAGAAGCATTCCTAAAACTGAAGCAGCTTCTATCATCGAACCTTCTCCTTACACACTATGATCCCGATCTTCCAATTATAGTCGCAGCAGATGCGTCGAACTACGGAATTGGAGCAGTAATTTCACATGCCTACCCTGACGGTTCTGAGAAAGCAATCGCTCACGCTGCGAGATCTCTGACTATGGCTGAAAGAAACTACAGTCAAATAGAAAAAGAAGCCCTCGCGATTATATTTGCTGTAAAAAAGTTCCACAAGATGTTGTTTGGTCGGCAGTTCACCCTACTTACAGACCATAAACCTTTACTGACAGTTTTTGGATCTAAAAAAGGCATCCCGGTATATACAGCAAACCGGCTACAGAGATGGGCTACCACACTGCTGGGTTATGATTTCAAGATAAATTATCAACCAACAACGGATTTCGGACAGGCAGATGCACTCTCAAGATTGATTGGTCTGCATGAAAAACAAGAAGAAGAGGTGCTTGTAGCTGCTATAGATGTCGAGACCGATGTTCACAAAATATTGTCAGACGCAGTTTCCGGACTCCCGGTCACATTTGAAGCCATTAAAGAGGCCAGCAAGAAGGATAATGTATTAAAGATTGTTCGCCATTGCATACTCAATAAATGGCCTTCATCTAGATTACACGGAGAACTCTTACAATACTTTCGTCGACGAGAGTCATTAACAGTTGTCGATTCATGTATAATGTTTGGCCACCGTATCGTTATCCCCAGGAATCTTCGACACCAAGTCATTAAACAGTTCCACAGCGGGCATCCGGGGATAAGTAAAATGAAGTCACTAGCTCGTAGCTATGCATACTGGCCGTCAATGGACCATGAGATAGAGCAAAAATGTCGCAGCTGTTGGTCCTGTCAAGAGGCTGCAAAGAATCCAACGAGAACTGAGCCACAACCATGGCCTAAACCGGACGGGCCTTGGCAAAGAATACATGCTGATTTCGCCGGACCGATACAAGGCAGGAATTACTTAGTTGTTGTAGATGCTTTCACAAAATGGCCGGATGTATATGACATGCCGAATACGACTTCAGAGAGTACCATAAGAAGATTGTCAGGATTGTTTGCCTGTTTTGGGGTTCCAGAGATCTTAGTGACTGACAATGGTACTCAGTTTATGTCATCTGCCTTCAAACGCTTCTGCAACGAGAATGGCATATTGCATCTACAATCTCCTCCATACCATCCTCAGTCGAATGGCCAGGCAGAAAGATTCGTGGATACAATTAAAAGAGCTCTGGTCAAAGGGGGAGGTGAGGGTGTCCCGGAACAAGTGATTAATAAGTTCTTGATGTCTTACAGAGTTACCCCTAATCCGGCAGTACCAGAAGAAAAGTCTCCGGCCGAGTGTATGTTCGGAAGGAAAATCCGGACAGTTTTTAACAGTATGTTGCCGCCCAGAAAGACAAATAAACCCACGAATGAAAATCGTAAGGTCAATCGTAGCTTCCAGGTGGGTGAAAAGGTACTTGTCAGATCGTATCAAGGTAATAGGAAGTGGGAACCAGGTGTCATAGAACGTCGAATCGGAAATGTGGTGTACCTAGTCCGGAGAGATGTTGGGAAATGCATAAGACATATAAATCAAATGCAAAGAAATGATAGTACAGTGATCACAGAAAACCGGCTTCCATTTCAATTGCTCATAGATTCATCTCAGAAGAACCATCATGAGCGCGAATATCGAAAAGACAAACGACGCAGAGAGAAAGCTGTACAACCCTCGAGAGTAATGGACCGCAAGAGGAATGCGACACCCAAGCTTCAGGTGGATCCAAGAAAAAAATCTTACACAACGGACTTTAAAGGGGGAAGGTGTGACGGCGGACCACCGGTGAACTCGAGGAAGCTGTAAGAGGCTCATAAGGAGCCGAAGACGTTCCATCCAATCACCTTTCGGAAGAATGTTCTAGAATTCCAACGTGTAGCTTCCCCATTGGATAATGCTAATAACCCCCTGTACGCGGATTGGAAGACTGTAATGATGATTTCGTTCTCACTAAAAACTATAAATACCTGACAATTTTGTACTATGTTTGACACTGTTTGGAATAATATTCCTTTCGTTAGTCTTCTGTCTTCTTATTTGCGAATTGGAAGGGTTTGGTGTTCTAGTGCTCAGTTATACGCGGTAGTATCAAGAAAAATCAGCTTTTTTCAAGTTATAACAATTAGTAACTAATAAATGCCAGCAAAATTGAACTACCAATCAAATAATTTGTAATAGTTTGCATTTGTTTTTCTTTCGTCGCTTGATGGCTTTGGTTTGCAGTTCCTTACTAATCTAATTGTTCCTAAACCTGTATTGTGTACATTGCAAACCCGTTGATTAGATTGATCAGATATATCTATAACCTATTCCAAGTGAAGCAAGTGTACGCAAATATTCAGAAAAGTCACTCACCTTTCGCATAAATATGAATTTTTAATTCATTTTTACCATAATCATTGGTCGTTCCTGAGTTTTTGGGAATGGAAACCCTTCATTTGGCTTCAGTATACACCAATATCTAGATAAGTTGTCCCATGGTTTTGTTTGTGAATTTCTTAGTCAAGCTACCAAGCATTCATAGTTTCATATCATATGAACAAGTTCCCAGGTCATTTGTTAACTTGTCTTAGTTTTATATTTTATACTAACAATTTATTTCATAATTTGACCTATTTTGTTGTTCTGTACCTATATTCACAGTTAATTCCGTTTTTGGACCAGCAACTTCTCATAGATGCAATGAAGGATGGAAACACTAAACTAACTGAACAAGAAAAACAACGCAACCAACATAAATCTCATTTGTTTTATCGTGCTTGTCCGATTGGACGTGTAAAATCTCCTGTAGAATTAATTAATTATGATTTTTATCGTAAATCTGTCAATTGTGGTGAATCAGAATTAAGTCAGTTTTATGCTTCAATCACTAGATCTGTTGTTGAGGATTTTCCAAGTTTATCAAGACTACCGTTTACCCATAAAATTCAAAGAATACCAGTTTATGTAAGATATTTTTCTAGCCTATATATATACTGTAATAACGAAAGTTAGTCACATCAGAAATATTTTTGAACATCTATTTGGATTATTATTATTATTATTATTATTATTATTATTATTATTATTATTATTATATTATTTGAGTAACCGTTATCACTCATTCTATAATGGATTATCGTTTCGTCTACTTCACAAGTGGCACAAACCGACCAAAAGTAGGTGAGCTGCCTGAATAAGTGTTAAGGATTTATCAGACATCAATCCACTGGTATTGACGAGCCTTCTAAGATAAGTGTTTTCCACATACAACTACCGTACTCCTCATGATCAGTCTTGGTGATGACACAGACCATTTGTGAATCAACATTTTGCATTCTAGAGGGAGAAAAACGTATCCCAAATATGATTGTATTTTTGCTCAAAGCGTTCAGAAGGTTATGTTTTTTGTCAGCCTCTTCATCATATTTGATTGTCAACTATGTACTCCATGTCGATTATTGAGTTTTCGAGAGAGGAAATCAATCCCTGGGCAGTTGGTCGAAGAAATTTGGTTTATTTTAGGATATATGTGAGGAAGCTTAATCGGAATGCGCAAAATAGACAGTTCTGACAAACATCATTTGCAGTTACCAACTATTAGCGGTTTACCATTCGCTCTAACCTAATACTGTTCTGTCTAAGAGCCCTCATAGACTCATTGTCATTTCAATCCACCTTATAATCACTGTGTCAGAAACCCGTTGTTCGACGAAGTGGAACGGTACCTTAAGGTGTGTGGGGATTCGATCGATACACTCATATTATTATTTGTTTTAGAACAAGTAATCATCACCATTTTTTTGGTAAAAATTGTTTCTAGTTTGGTGTTTGTGTTATTTTGGGCAGCTCGGTGGTTTTCTTATTTAGCGCTGTGGTTTGATTTGTGAATTCTTTACTACTCCATACCAATACAGAGTTGGTCGATTTATGTGCAGCAGAAAATCTCTAAATACGTAATCTGGTACATATGTACTACTAGTCAGTTTCTGCCCTTGTCTGACTGATATTAAATGTTAACGTTTTTTGAATAAGTGTTTTATCAGTAGAATTTAAATCACGTTGCTTGTTGAATACATGTATACTGGAGTTCTAAAATGCTTATGAGTTTGCCGATTGTTCTGTGGGTCTAGTCTGATACAAGCCTTGTTATATAAATCATCGTATTTATTCGAACGTACCTGTAAAAAAAAACGTTTGAAGCTCGTGATTTAACTACATGTTTCCATTTGATCTTCTACAAATTAGCACTTGTTTATTATTCCTGTGTATTAAAACTAGGTTTTTGAACGCCCTAGTAAATTAGATAGTATGGCGTTAACAATGAAACCTCATCCAGAATTTTCAAAATATGATAGCCTTGGTCAGTTAGCTGAAAGTATTCTTGGGCGTCCTATTCGTGTTCGTTGGCCATTCTGTGCTACAGTGATGCCTGTTCGATTGATGAGCACTAGCGAAATGTAAGAATGTGCAATATACACTTTCACATTAATATAATTATAATCCTAGTCAATTTTACATTGTATTTCGTTAGTACTTTTAAATTTTGACTTTTTATATGACGAAATTGTAGTTTTCAGAACTGCTCATTAATCTGTTTATGATCTTATATTAAATATGGTGTTTATTTCTTGTAAGCGAGTAAGTCAGCAGCTCGAAACTTTTGTGCGAAGTGTTATCGACGTCATATTGGACTTGTAAGACCGATTTTAAGTGGAGTTGGTACATGTTCGAAATTAGCAAACCCTTGAACTAATTTCCTTTTTGGCGTACAGACATTGTTATTCTAGCTCAATAATTTCTGTATACTTTCATGTGTATATTGATGCTTGTCGAAGTGAGAATGCACGATCGAATGCTGTTATTATCAGTCTAAGCATTGTTTTTCTGAATTGCCTAAAAATTGTTTTTCGCAATACCATTATATATATAATTGTTAATGAACGTTTTCACATCCGACATTGTCGGACTTCATTGGTCACGACTGCTCACTAAAACTCCGGAAAATTCTTTGTAAAGCAAGTCCCTAGTGAGTTCTAACTTTCTGTTTCCCTCCTTGTTCTCTTTGATTCAATCTTCTGTTAGCAGGCATTGCACTACCGATTCCTGCCACATGCTACTTTTATCTGTCAACATAAGTACTATTCACCACACCATGACTAGTATTACTCAATCGTGTCGAGTGTGAGGTAGGTACTGGCTGCCAACTGTGGAAGGCTGTTAAACATTGTCCATTAATTCTTCTTTCTCTTCGTGTGGTTTCTATTTTTCTTTTGAATTGTACTTACAGATAGACTATTGCCATTACTTTATTCCAACTTTTTCACAGTTTGGATTTGTTATAACGGTTTTCAGTTTGATTAACATAGACATTTTTGAAATAGTTTCAGAAATATCTGCAACATATTTATTTGATGATTTGACCAGTTCATTGAAACAGAAATGGAACAATTTAAGAAATTCGATAAAATTTAGTGGTGCTGAGTAGTCAGCTTCAAAATAGTTTTTTTCTTACCATATCTACTGATGATTTTGGTTACTTTTGTACCTGCATTAATAACACTCATGTGGAAACCGTCAAGTGTCTATATTTTTATAAACTGATCAATATTGTTGAATGATGCATCTGTCTGTTAGGTATAATGATCAATATGACCTAGCCAGAACGTTATATTGCTGGGCCTGGTATATAAATCATACATATCGGTAAATGAATTCTATTTCCTTCAGTATCCTCCATCTTCGATTCTCATAATTTTTTGTTTGCTATGTAATCTAACGAGTTTACTAAAATCTCAACTTATAATCATATGTTTTATATTGTTTGTTGTTATTGGTATGTGTGAATTGTAGAAATCTATTTCCATTGAAATGTATTTATCTTAATTTTTTTAAAACTAGCTGGGAACTAGTGGATTTTAATGTAGAACCAATAATTGAGTCTTCAAGCGATTTGTCCTCCGAATCCCTGCACTTTCGTCCACTTTTATCGTCTGAAGACAATAATCATGAATTGGATTGGATAAATAGCCAACTGTCAAGTTTAAAACACCATTTTGAGAAACGTCGAGCAATTTTATTTGATGACAAAAGTGATAATAATGACTGTGATGAGCTGGATGCTCATGTGAATTTGATACCATCGTCAGTTCTAGTTTTTTCTCGTCCATTAGACGGTTGGTCTGTAGTACCTGTACGAGCAAATGATTCGGATGGTTTTACTCTTATACCGAATTTTGTTCGCTCGCGTGCTCAAAATGGTGATGATTTAGAATTGTCTAATACACCATTTGCATTTTCATTTATTCAATCAGAAAATATGATTGACTTATCCGGGAAACGAGATAAAAAACGGAAAACACTTATCGAAAAACCTTCATTGAGTATAGAACCTGCTTATGGTCTATCGGATGGTTTAAATCTAGACTTATTAGATGTCCTATTACCTGGTATACCTCCACCACCATCAATTGGATGTGTTGAAGTTGACTGGGGTTATAATAAAATAATTTCACTCCATACAATATTTCATCCTGGTAAAATAGTGTTTAGTTTAGCCAAAGAAAGTTATGGATCAGTGGGTGAAGTGAGTTATTAGTAGTTTTATACAATCTTATATAGCCTTTATATCATAATGTTGTTATATATTATAAATAAACTAGAGCAGTTTATGATTATTTGTCAGTATGTTGCTTACTTCCTATAATACGTCATAACACACTAAATCAGTACATTTTTTAAATCCTGGTCAATGTGTTTTTTCTTATTAATAGCAAATAATAAATATGAAATATTCCCTGATTGTAAACATAGAACAACATGTATAAGCGAACAATATTGTTTTCGATTAGATCCTCATCAGGCTTTACTCTAATATACCGTAATATTTATATGCATATACGAAATTATTAAACCAATCAAGGTAGTTTATAAGTCAATGATAACTATGATAAAGATTACATAATAAGTGAAAAGTACAAATTCGTAGTGTGATAACAGGTGCATTAGTTTTTGATAAGAATAATAAAGGCTCAAATCAATGTTACATAATCGGAAATAGGTCAATGATTAGAAAAATATGGACAGTGAGATAAAATTTATAAAATTATAAGATGACGTAATAAGAAGTGTTCAGATAATTGGACTTTGTAACGTATATTTGACAGAATATAAAATGGTAGGAAGGGGTGAAGAAAAATAATAAACGAAGAGAAAGTTTTGAAAAATTAATAAATAAATTCATTTATTAAGGCCAAGGGAGAGATAAGGGTGTTACAAATTTCTTCTGAACACAAAGACTTGGCTTGTTGGCTCGAATCCCTATAGCTTCTGCTATGTGTAAGAGGTGAGATCGAACACCATAAGGAAAACTAGTGAGAATACGATAGATAACTTTAAATGGCTTGTTTCTGTCCACTACATGACCACTATCGATCAAGTGTGATAGAACCGAGCTGCGTATTGTCTTGACGTTACCTTTTTCTAACCACGAAGGGAGTCACTATCTCTTTCTCTATTGAGCAGCTGAATTCGTAGATACACATAGAAATGGCATAACCAGGTAACTTATCCTTCAGTTGGGGAATCATCATAGATCGGGTCGAATACGATAGATAGATGTTGGTAGCATTGAACGTTCTCTTTACTACTCTAGTCAGTCTACCACATCACTAGCTACATCACCATTGAATTGCAGCTTCAAGAAAAGAGGTTTCTTATTAACAGTCAGTGTCACTATTTTCTTGCTTGTTACACGCAAGTGTTTCTTCAGGAAACTCTGTGGATATTCCAATTCAATCAACATATTATGAATACACTCTAATTCCTTACTAGAACTATTTAATAACAAACATCCTGCAATTAAATTTGCATATGAAGAGGAAATAGGTAATAAACTACATTTCCTTGACGTTTTGTTGAATAGAAAAGAAAATGGTTCTATCAGCAGAGGTGCGTATAGAAAAAGTTCTCCAAGCCAATACACACATTTTTAAAGCTTTGTGCCTCTTCATTATAAGAGAAACCTAGTCAAATGCCTGGCAAATAGAGCCATTAAGATATGCTCAGTTGACACAATTGATAAGGAAGCAGCGTACATCCACGACGTTCATATCTCATGACGAATGTGCAAATATCTTTGACAGATATAATCCATAAATTTAAATCAATCTCCCTAAAACCTCATTTCAAACTAATCTGTTAATGTGAAAAAGTTCTTTATTCTCTCTACTGTTTCATGTTTTCATGTTCCATATTTTTAGATTATTGGAGTTGATCAGAAGAAAGGTAAAGTTATGGTACGCTTCTATCCTGATGTCTCATCATCAACTGACTTAACGGAATTTTGTAGTCAGGTCGAAGTAAGTATAATTGTAATTATATAAGAAAACTATTATCTTGTAAATGAAATCACTACTTGTATTATCTTTGCATACAACGAGTTGTGATCCCAAAAACTAAACTTAGAACTTTTTTACTTTTCTGAAAATGTCTTTTTGCTAATTTAACTTTAATATGAAGTCAGTTAATCGGATACTTTTAGTTCTTAACATGATTAGTTGACGTTTTTATTAATCGAGAACTTAAATGTAACGTACCATGTTATCCTTTTGTACTTATTCCACGCTTGTTGCACAGTTAGGAAGCGTTTGATGTTCATTTAGTAATCCACCACTTAAAAATTTGCAGGGCTTTTAATCAGATTGTATTTTTCAACATTATTTCAAGTTAGAAACTCTCAGAATGAACTTTTTCAATTCAATCTATCATAATTTGTCTCTAGCCCCCAAATGCCCTGGTATGGCCGAGAGTGGGGAGAGTCCGCCCTCCCTCTCGAAATACTCTCACATGGCCATGCTTATATAGCCTCTGCCAGGGAAGTCCTACTCATTGCCTTCTCGTGGCGGGGGTGTTGTTTACAAAATTGAGAGGACAAAAAGCGAATGTCCGGCGCTTTAACCGGATTCCAAACCAATGGTGCACATGGGCCTCAGTATCCTGCGGGGACAAATGGCGTATGAACCAATTGTTGGTCACCGGCTTACATGGGACTGCATCTCCTTACGATGCTCCACTGCCTTGTGGATCAGACCTTCAGGTCGAAGGCTCCGGGTGTGGCCCCCTAAGAAAACCACCTGCTTCGGTTTGGGAACCCGGGCAGTATCACAGCCCTCACACATATCGAATGAGATTTGTGTGGCGCATTTGTATCTGGTGCCTCCTTGTACCAATATCTATGTGTTAAAATAAAATAAATAAATAAATAATAATTTGTCTCTAAGCTAGAAGGAGTGACCTCATTAGTGTATTAACACCTGTTTCTCATACCGTTTGTTCTTATTCTGTTCATCCTGTAACAAGTTTGATTTATTTAATCTATGACAATGTCTTTTTTCATCAATGATCAAAACATTAAGACCCATATATAGTCAATGATTTTTCCTGATATTAGATCTACTTCTTATCCTAACATAATTTCTTTACATGACTCATGCTCACATTATAAAAGGTTCATATTCAGCATTAATAGCATAATTAGATGATTTGTTTAGTACACAGTTATTTTGTGGACCATGTAATATTCAATAGTTTTGATGTTAAATTATTTCCCCTTGAAGAACATGAAGGAAGCGTTAAATTTATTTTATTTTCAATCGTTGAGATTTTCAAAAATACAGTTTCCTCTTCATTTCTTCCATCATCTTGGAACCGACGTACTGTGAAATGTCATTTTGTTAAATCTCAAACCTGGACCCACGAGTATGCAGGTTAAAGGTTTTGTGATCGTCAATATAGTTTAATCTCCATGTATTTTAACAATTTATCAGTTTCCCTATTGTGATGCAGATTATATAGTTATCTTGTTTATATAGTTTATTCAAATAAAAAAAATGGTTTCAAGATTCTTATTGTTCACTGACACATGCACTGTATTGTTTGATACTTTTAGTTACAAACTTTTGGTTGATTAAGTTTTCGTTTGTTTCTTATTTACTGTGTTTTGTTTTCAAATATCCATTACAGTTGCTATTTTTCTTGCTCTATGCTTGTGCTAATTTCTCTTCGTGCAGTGATGTGCAGTGTGATAACTTGTATCGATACGTTCTCGTGCTAGGTTTTATGTTGACAACTGACCAATGGAAGTTTAGTTTCAGGAGAGAATCTTCTAAATTGTGATAGTTCCTTCTGTAATCAACAATAATCTTTAACAGAACTCCGTAGTTCAAATAAATTGTTTGGTCAATATATGTTTAAGTAGTGTTCTTCATGTATATTTTGAACTGGAAAAAATAACACTGTTGGATACCATCTCAGTGGTTTAAAGGTTAGACGTTCGCGCGCTGGGTCATGGATACACGCTGATGAGGATTCTCATACTGCGACGAAACGACCGTACAGTGCTTCCAGGTTTTTAATGGTGATTTAACGTTGATTGGTTCATTTATAACCTAACGTTCTTAACTGAGTAGTTCTATCTGATATCTAATGTAATTGTTACGACATCACAGTTGATTATATTTGCCAATTGTTTCTCTGGAGGAAATTCAGCTTTGCTGAATTTCAGGATTGTTTTAGTACTCAGGATTGTGTCATTTAGTTTTTTTCCTGTAAAAAGTTTTGATTTGTCAGCCAAACAAATTACTTCTCGAAATCAAGTGTTTATTTTAATAGCAAGTTTTTTATATAAGTAAACAATTATTTCCATAAATTTTGCATTTATATATAGGAATGGGAACATGATAATTTTTATACAAATGTCATGGTTGCAGATCAATTAAGTGTCCCAGTATTTGTAGTGAATCGATTTACCGGCAGTTTGATGGTTCAAATTACTTCTGAATCTTGTTCATCATTTGGAGATAATGATGGCATTATTAGTAAACATAATCAATACGCTGAAACATCAACTGATAACAATGCAGAAAATAATATGGAAAAGAAAAAATGTGGGCAGAAATCATTTGCTAATATTGGTTTAAACCTGAAACGGAATCGTTCTGGTGCTCAGGTAATATTTTTCTTTGAGTGTGCTCTATTTTTTAATTAGAAATTTGCGTATTGTACTGTTCTTATTTAGTTCATACATCTTACTGATAAAATATTTCTAGTGAATACTGCGTTAGCATCGTCAAATTTAAACTTAAGTACTAAGATAATTGATTGTTGACTGTCGGGTCATTTCTTACAATCCTTTGTATATGTTTTTTTGTTTAAATATCCGGGTAGTTATCTGATTTTGAAACTTGATCCAAGTGTTTTGTATTTTTATTATTAGCCTACAAATAGGTTCTATCACTAGTATGTTTCCAAATCATATTCATTTTGCATGACAGTGCATACACTCTCTATCTTCCCTTAAACTAAGAGATTAAAATTGCTTCATATCTTTCTTTCTATAAACTAATTACTTCTTCCTGTACTATATCCTTATTGCAATCTTTCTTTTATATATTACCACCTCTGAATTAACTACTTTTATGAATCCGGTGTCCATCTTGTTGTGTTAATGAGGCATGGCAACTTGGACCGATGCATATATATGCCTGGTCCTACGTTGTAGCTGACTGACTGTATTCATTCACAATGTTGTCTGTTACGAACTACTGTTTGACATTACTCATTCAGCCTGTTCTCCGATGTAGCTAGTGGTTTCCTCGTACTCATATATTAAGGGGAGACGGTAGAATGAGTAGAATATTTTATTCTCAGATTAACAGTAACTACAGTTCGTGTACATGTTTGCGATGAATTATGGCAAAGTGAAAATGTAATCATTAAATACCACCTATATCCATTTTCTTCCGAATTACTATACAATCGTGATACGTTACGATTCCGACTAAATCTATCTCCTTTACTCAGCTTGTCAGATACTTCCATAGACGCATCATTAAATAAAAGAGTCCTATTATTTTTGTGATAGTTTAGTTTGAGTGACAAAACAACATGACATTATTTTCGTTACCGTTTCCTAATTGATTGTTCTGTTCGTTTAAATGCTATTTTAGATAAATTTCATTAAATATCACTTATATCAAATCTATTCCTTCCCAACGGATCTCTAGTCAATGGTCTGAGCTCCTCTGCTAATATTTCAAACCCTTATTCACTTGCGTACACCGTAAATACAGTTCATCTATGTAATAGTAGATCAATTCGACAAGGTATACGATCTATCAGTTAAAATGGTTCTTTATTCATGTTTATGTTTCCAGAAGTTCAAATACAATAGCTTGAATCTAAGAGTGGTGAATCCCCGTTTCTTGACTACCTAGTTAGATGGAAAGAAAATGGATATTTTAATATAACTTCAGGACGAAAACATAAACAAATATTATGATTTTATATCTTAGCACCTCATCAACTCAAGGATATAAGTTGTTTCAAGTGTTTCAGGAAGGGCACACACATTGTAAAATAAAATTAACTAAAGTAACTGGAAGGCTTAAAATAAATAACTATCCTAAAAATGTCCACTAATTTAAAAATAACTTTAAACGTGACGGAAATAGTACTCCAGAAACATGAGCTACATTCATTGTCATTCCACACATATCACAAACATAAGAATGTCTCGAAGGTAAAGCATATCACTTTGAATGGAGTCTTAATTGTCTGAGTAGGAACAAGGGTATAAGACAAAATTTCAACCTGGCACCAACACTATCCTCTCACTAACTAGTTTGATCAACATATATGTTGATAGAACAATCAGAAGACGGAGTTGATCTAAAAAAATATGGTCTATTTACTCTATGCATACAACACAAATGTGCCAAGAATTTTTCATTATATAAATGCATACTTTTTATGATTCATACACCCATTGAACCTAATAATCTTCATCTGTCTTCTGTCTTTATCAATTCATTCGACAACGCAGAAGTATTTCATATAAAAGAAATTTTATCGAGTTACTTTATATCAACTGAGATTTTTGTAAATCTCTAGTTTACTAGTATTACTATGAAGTTATTAGCAATAAACAATGAAACGTTATCTGAAACAATTTTATTTTGTTTTTCATTTATTGGAAAGTATAGATTTTTGGTGATGGCAAAATAGTCCTTTATTTTTATGAACTATTGCAAAATATAACCAGACTAATAGAGGTCAATTTAGTTTATTAGCTCTTTATCATACAATAGGTTTGTTTGTGGACACATTTATAAATTGTGTAGTCTTAAATAATGTCGTTTTTGTACCACAGTTCTTACCCTCCTTTCTTCATTGTCAGTTGGTGTTTGAATCAATTGTCATTTTGATAGTCGATATTACGTCATCTACATTTTAATAATGAACACATTCTATCTCGCCTCACTTTCTTACTGTGTATTCTTGTTTTACAACCTCTTGTATAAATTACATTCCAATTATGCATAATATTCTTTCGCTTCGCTGAACTTATTTCGAATTGTCATTCAAGCACTGTAAAACGTTCATTAACATAGGTCTTTGTCAGTAGTAAGCATTTCATGAGCATATATATATATATATACTCCGAATATTTTTTTAGTTAGTCCTTTGTTTACAAAAATTTCGTAGATCCTTCTGCATTGAGCAGTTTTTGCCAGAACTTGAAATCACTTGCGGTTACCAGTTCAAACACAAAGTCAAACTTCTTGTCTCAACAATAAGTTACTCATTACCGTCAGTCAGTCAGAAACAACGTCGAACTTCGTACGTACGTACATCAGTTCGAGTTACCATACCACATTAGCACACAGATGCAGTTGTCGATTCAAATCCCGTAGTGGTAGAGTTAGTAAAAGTAAAAGCAGTAATCGAAAAGATTAGGGTTTGAAGATGTTATTCAAAGAGTATAATCCGGTGAAATAAATTTGGAAAGAGAAAAAAAGGACACGAAGAATTCAGAAGATTAGAATTTGGAAGAACACAAATAGTGAATGCACCTGTGCCATTGCAGACGATTTTGAGCCATGTCATTCAGGGTCTCTAACCATCGGTTGCTATCATCTCGCGGTCCCCAACCAGGTAGTCTACACCTACCAACATGACTCAGTCCACTTGCCAATGACTTCATGGACATGTGCCATGTTTTGGTCTGGCCGCCCCTAGCTTTCTTCCAACCTACTCCTATATCACTGAACATCGCACATCGAGGCAGTCGATCGTTGGGCATACGTAACACGTGTCCCAGCCATCTCAACTGATGAAGTTTCACTACTTCATCAATTGATTTGCCATCCTTACCTAGTACCCGTTTTCTAACAACTGCATTACTTACTTGGTGGTCCCAGGATATACGAGCAATGCTTCGAAGACACCTATGATCGAATACTAGTAACCTACAAATATCCTCTAATCTTATCGGCCACGTTTCACTGCCATAAAGTAGGAAGAAACAAACTACTGCACAGTAAACCTGTCCTTGCCTCGTAGACAGATATCTCGCCTACGCCATAAACGACGCAAGTTGGCAAAAGCTAATCGAGTCTTCTGTATCCGTGCTGAGATTTCGTCACACACCAGACCACAAGGGCTGATCAGACTCCCAAAATAAGTGAAGCGATCGACACGTTCAACTACTTCACTCTGTCATTAGTACAGGTTTCGATGCAACCTAATCCTGAAGCAACATTTTGCATTTTGAGAGGGATAATCGCATCCTGAACATGTTTGTATTGCTGCTTACGGTGGTCAGAAGACTCTGCATTTTGTCAGCGTTTCACCGAGTAGAATTATGTTATCGGCATATTCTAAGTCAACAAGTGAACCTCCCAGTAGAAGTTCAATTCCTGGAAATTTAGATGAGGAGAGTGTTATCTGTAAAAGCACGTCAACGATGAAATTAAACAGGAATGGAGAGAGTGGACAGCCCTGACAAACACCGCTTGAGGTAATCAATTCTGATGACAAGTCTCCATAAGCTCTCACTCAACCAGTTGTGTTCGAGTAGTGAGCCTTTATAAGGTTAATGTACTTCTTCGATACTCCTTTCAGTGACAAACACTGCCATAAAACCTCACGATCAACAGAGTCGAATAATATCTTAAGATTGGGAAATACTACTATTGTGGAGCGTCTGAATGTGTCTATGTTCTAGGACCTGACGTTATGTGAATATCTGGTCTATTCAGCCACGTCCAGTTCGTGTAGAATGTAAATACTTATATTTCGAGGGTTGTTTGTGAACAAGAAAGCCTTTCTGAACGGAATTATGAGTTTCACTGAATTCTATGAAGATTGCCTGGATAGCTGTTACTTATATGAACGAAAACATTTAACACATATATTTTGTATTTCTTGATCTCTAGTTTTCGTGTGGATTATTATTATTATTGAGCTGAACTTGAAAAAGTGTCTGTACTCGGTTCTTGGATGAGTGAAATGACAAGGACAGCTTAAGAGCTTGATTTCTGCTGACTTCTAGAGATTCCTCACACAATATAAACGAAGATAGTACAACGATAGAGCTTCAGCTGGGTCAAAAGCAGTTTACCTTAATTCTGAGAATTAACGTGTTTTTTTAACTGACTGAATACAAAATAAATGAATGTATCGTAACATAGTCTTTTGTACAGTTATATCACTTTACAGTTATGTTTATATGAAGTGATTTTCACTATGTTAATTATATTTCAGGTTTTAGGTTGGTCACGTTTTTGTACTGTTCGTCATACATGGTTATTTTCTAATAGAACTGTTGATTTACTCAAGAAATTCAGCGAAAAATTTCCAGGTGTTTGGGAAAAAGTTTTAAAGTCGTCAGATTCATCTACAAAAAATAATGCATGTATACAACTTGATTCGTAAGTGTTTTGTATCAGATTTTATCATGTGCGTAATTTTTAACACGTTAACTATTCATTAGTCCTGTTTTCTTTAAATCCTTCCATCTGAAGCCATTAGGTGACAAATTCTTTTTCCATATAAATTGCTTTATATATCATATTTCCAAAGTGTACAGCATCTAGTCAGTATTGTAATGCTCAAATGATCTACTTACCAATAAACAGGATAAGGGCTGAATAGTTACTCACTAAGGTACTTCATTAACTAAACACTGAGATACAAAAGAACATTTGTTACGCTTTATTGTCGATCTTATTCACTAGATACTATTTTAAAACAGGAGCAAATCAGGTTGCAATATATGTTTCCTGATATTTTGCCGTATCTTTAAGCTCCAACCACTGTTTCAAATCGCACTAAAGTACACTTCGGAGGTTATGAAAGTTATCCTTTAAATCCCTCTATGCATGACATACATCACTGAATATTAGTGTTGTCTGGAAATTCTACTTTTTATATTTGATTCATGTGTCTTCATATCCGCTTCACATTCAGTAGTTTGCGCATACAGATAATGTCATCTACTCTCACATTTTAAATGTTGCCACACATTACTTATTCATAGAGTCTTACATCACACACTTCAGCATTACTGAACAACAAAGTGAACGTTTTAAGATGTAAGATATTGGCGCTTTGGTTTATCGATAATCATCTCAATAATCCAGTAAGAGTAGATTGTAATCGTTCGTTCTCTTTCTTTTACTTAACAATATCATACAAACGTATCAAAGATTATGATCAGACTTTGTTGCGTTTCATGGGAGTAGTGAACGGTATAGAATGATTGGTGATATTTGTTGCAGATGTAACGGTACGAACGATTTTAAATTCATTGTCTTGTGATGATAATTTTAATTTTCATAACAAGTGTGCAATACAATCATTATCTCTTTAGTTATTATTCTTATTGCTTCTTTTATTCTCGTTTGCCTAGATTGATCCCTTTTTTTGTAATTATCATATAAATAGCTTAATGATTCACTTCATGTTCAGCTTATTCAAAATATATTTCACCAAATAATTTATCGTAAGTAATCTGTAAGTTCGTGGTAAATAATTAGTAAAATAAAAAAAAATAATATCAGAAGGGGTTTTTGTGGATATTATAGTAATTTCAATAGTTGAGATCATGAGTCAAGCTTCAATTGACCCATGATCTTAACTATTAAATAATAATAATTTAAATTTAGTTTATTGTATAACTTAACTCTATTAAATAATATATCTCCTTGATATTATAATATCGTAAAAAGAAGATAAACTAAATGAAATTCATTTATTTTTCCAAAATTTAATTTAGAAAATTTTTTAGTATTTGTTTTTTATGTTTTTCCATCCCATTTTGTTGTCATATCACTTCAAAAGGCTATGCATTTTTATTTCGATAGGAAAGAAGTTGACGAGATTATGGAATTTATTGCTAATTCTGAATGTAGAAGTGCTCCAGTTTTACCACAGAAAGGTATCTACTTGGATAAGGAATGGTTACAAAAATTAAAATCATTATATCTTAAAGACATGGATGAAACTGTATATGAACCGTTTGATCGTCAGATTTGGAATAGAAAATCTCCAGTAAATTGTTCACCGACAACTTTGTTTGTTGTGAGTTTTTTTGTTGATTTCCTATTCATTCTTCCAATAGCTATTTGTCAACGCTCTACTATATACGTATGTATTTTATACGGAATTATTAGTTGTAAGCGGAACTCATTATGTACACCTTAGTAATATTATAATAACTATTACTTTTAAAATAATACTCTATTTAATTTAGCCATTATCTTTCATTTTCCATTTTGCCTAAATGCTTGGTCAATTTACTTAGAAATTACTCCCCGTCGATTCAGTAATTGGTTAAAATAAGAACCTAAATTCAATGTGTAAATGACTGAATGTCACCCAACTACATCACAATCTAAATATTGTGATTCTTTTTACTGAATCATCTTTTTAACATTGATATTGATATTTTTGTAGTTGTATCTCGTTCGGTAAACAACGTTATGAATAGTTAATAAATTAAAAGTTCCACTAATTATTTCGTATTACATGCTTATTAATAATATAAAACAATACATGTAATGTTTTCTTTAGTGGTTTAATTTATTTTACTGTTAATGTTTTTTCTTACGTATTATTAACTTACCTAGTCAGTGAATTCAGATACAAGAATATATCCATCCTCTTATAATTTATCACCATTCGATCGTTGTTATTATTCATCAAACTACTCGTCAGTGTTTAGTTCATTCACATTATTGGATAAAGTTGTTTATATTGGGATAGGACAAAATATTCCATTGGGATTACATGGGATTGTTATTGGTGTACCATCTGGTAAGTAATAAATAGATAAAAACACTGATTATTGTTATACCGTCTGATTTATAACTTATTCTTATTGCCGAGCTTTATATATATGTAATAGTTTTTGTCACAGACTAACTTCAGACTGACAACTATTGAAAATCTCGGAAAACTGTACAGCTGTCTCTTCCTAGAGTGGGATTTCACAGCAGTCTTCACCGACGACTCATTCAGGGATACCATATGAAATAATCGTATCCCATATTATGATCCAACACACTTGAAATACAAATACGTAAAGTTGGAGTCGTATGATAGATTAATACAAACTATTTTGTGAGCACTTCTTACGCGTGCGGCTGTAATTTTAACGTAATTGACTACATTGTACATAACCATATGTAACTAGTCCTGACCTTACACCTGTGTGCACTCTTTATACGCATGTTTGTTTATCTCTGTCTATTTTCATATGTAAGCTGAGGCATAAACGTATTTATTTGGGAGCGGCATAAAACCGATCTCTAGGCATCACCTCTTCATTTTTGCATTCTGCCTGGTTGAATGCAAATGCCTGAAAAAATTCCTTCAGAACAATTCGTATTTGGCTTTTTATTATTATCACCATTCCACAATGTTAGCCCAAGTATTTTATTCGAAACTGGGGAATCATGTTTCGCCAGCACCACTATCCGTCTTTCTTCGTCGAAAACAATCGAAATCAATACGTGGTACCTTACGTACTAATGATAGGCTGCGACTGTTAAAGATTAGCTATTTCAAAGCAGTAGTAATGAGTAGTAATCACATAATATCACGAATTGATTGAAATCGATAGGGAGTGTGGTAACTCGCTTATCTTAGAAATAACTCTCTCTCTCTCTCTGAGACCTGAGAATACGCATTACTAAAGAATGCCGTGCTAGAATGAAAAACATTATGTATACTGCTTGATTGTTTCTATTGCTTATAAGATTTCGATTTGAATATCTTTTTTTCAGGTATGTGATAAATTCTTACAAAGTATGAGCAATATTCATAAATTGCTCATTAAGTCTCACTAAAGTTGTAGTTTATCAGTATAGGCGTTCAACATTCGGTCACGAATTCTATTTGGGATACTGTGTTTTTTAGAGCTGTTATACAGTAAGTGTGATTCATTACTGTCTATATACTGTATCGATCACTACGTGATCGTCTAACTAAAGATGGTTCATGATATGGAACTTTGAATTCAACAATCTGCACAATACTCTGTAATAACAATTCATTAAGTGTCGACATTACACTAGTAAGGTGTAAATTGATGTACTTTTATACGAATGATTTGTGTATATATCTTAATTTTATCCGCACACTTTTTTTCATTTTTCTTATATCTTAATTATAAGGTGTAAGCTCTCAAAAGAGTGAACAATTGGTAGAGATCATGTTTTGCCGAACATTCACTGATGCCATAGATATTAGGTTAGTATGTATTATGCTTTTGTCAAATAATTTATGATCACATATCTTATTTGGAAAAAGTTGTCTATTTATTTCAATCATTTCATTCTTTTTATGTTAAGTTGGTAAACAGGATGGTTTCCGTTAACTTTTATTTCGTCATGAAATTGTTAAAGTTCTTAGTTATTCTTATCAAACTAATATATTTGACTTGTAAAATTGCATTCTAGTAAATACCAAAGTAAACTGAGTTTGTTTCAAATATTTATGAATCATTGATTGCAAACGAGGTAATCTCTTGTGTTAAGGCGATTATCAATTTCCGGTTACCCACATCGTGGAAGTATGCTTCCTCTTGATGTACCTGGGAAGGTCTTAACGACTTGGAAACATATTCGTAATGTCTAAAGGATAACTACTTAAGAGATGTTGCACAGTACTTTTGGTGAATAGTTTTGAAATTGTTGGCTTCATCCCTTTAAGTCTTCACTGACGAGGATGGAAATTTGTGGAAATATCATTTGATTTGCTTGTTGAATATCAGTAATATTCTGTGACTGAGTATATATATATATATATATATATATATATATATATATATTTCAATCAATATCCGGATTCATGATTGTGCTTTAATTAAACTTCAATTTGTTCATCTTCATTATGCTAACTGATTTATTTAAACATCATTTTACCAGTCATTTATAAATAGTAGTTATTTTATTCTATTAAGAGTTTTAATCTGTTAGTTTTTTTTCCTCAAAAGATTAGTCTTATGACAACTTTATAGCTTATAGTATCTATTGTTATATTAGGTGCTCACAATAATTAGACTTAAACGCATACACATAACTATGCATATAATATATTTCTTCACTAGAAATGTGTATGGAATTCGGTCGATGTTTTGAGATTGTTTCACAAGAAACACAATGTATGTGCGTATATGTATATTTGTATTTTTTCTGCATACCTGTTTTCATCGCAAGCACTAGTAACAGTGGTAGTAATAATGATATAATCATTCTGTTTTCATAGTATTAAATGTGATATAAAAAACTGTTATGATTTAGATTAGTCTTAGCTGTTGTTGCTTTGATTATCATTCTTTGATTTGCAAATTCTAATAACACCACGTTTTACTAACCTTGTGATTAAAAATAACTTGAGGCGTAAATTATGCGTCTTGTTAAAAAAATAACTGAATCATTCCATTTATTCGCTTCATGAAATTATATTAGGGATTTCTAAAAAAGCAATACTAGTTAACTAGCCGATTTGTAAATTAGGTAGCTCAAATCAGGTCACTTATTATTTATTTAAACTCATAAACATTGGTGCAAGTGGGTACCAAATATATTTGTACCACACTTCATCAGTCGATTTGTGTGAGGGTTGTGATACTGTCCAGGCGCCAAACTTAAGTAGGTGGTTTTTATATGGGGCCACACTCGGAAACTTTGACCCAAACGTCTAATCCACAAGACGGTGGAGTAACGTTAGGAGATGTAATCTCATGGTAGCCTCTGACCAACAATTGGTCCATACGCAATTTTTTCTCTCAGGATCTTGGGGCTAATTCTTCCAACCCTCTACCATACCAGGGCATTTGTGGGCCACAGATCAGGTGAGAGTCGGAGTAGCAACAGGAATGAAAGAACGATGAAGTTTGTAAGAGATAATTCCAGGAAGATGTTCAATTGGTGTTTTCAGTGTATTGTTTTCATCTTTTACAAATACAGTTTGTGATGTTACTTAAAGTAAATTGGTTTACCCTGCCTAAGTATTCGTTCATTACACTTGTTTTAACCGGAACAAAGTATTTCTATTTTTTAACCGAACAAAACTGATATTATAGATATTGACATACTTATATAAGTATGTCAATATCTATAATAACGTTGAATTTCAAATATTTTAGGTTGTAAGCAGCTGATGAGAACCTAACGAAATAAAACTGATATTGCTCAGTGCAAGGAAGATAATGAAGCTGTAGATATAGTCGTTTATGCGCCAACCATAAAATCTACAAACTAATCAACAATTACATTAATATATAATACAGATTGAATACATTGAGCTGTTCGGTATCCAATTTACGACATGCATAGATTAATAAATATATCTAATAAAATAACTGAGTTATATATTTGATCTTTCCTAGCAGTCCTGATAAATATTTGTCACTAACTTGTCTGTCGATGGGTATGCATTTTAATTATGAATAGGTAAAATTGAAATAAATAACTTCTGTGACATGAATTTCCATTTTTCAATAGTTCCTTAAACTAAAAATCATTCCTTTTCCTAGGTTAGATAACAGTAGACTTGATGATGTTTCATTATTCAAGCTAGATATATATTTTCTAGTTAAAACTTTTACTGTCATTCTCGGTGGTATCATTAGTGTTTACTTCAAATTAAGATGAAATTTCGAAAAACATTTTGCAAAAATCACCGGTCTCTTTTTTTTCTAATGATCTGTAGTTTTCTAATATCAATCTCTAACTGTTGAATTAATCAACTACTTTAGTCCGTATGTATATGATTTTTCAAATATCATTAACATTAAATAAGTATAGATTAATCAACAATTCTTCTTTGTCGAAAATCCATATTACTAACGTATCTCTTTCAGATTCAGTTTTTTTTCATCGTCATGTAATATTCAATACTTTTGTTAGTAGTATTGGGTAAGCCTACTTCAATTGTTCCACATTCAAGTATAAACCACTTTTACAATTATAGTTGGGAAAGGTGATATTGTTACTTATTCATGTTCTGTTTCAAAAACTTAACTCTGACTGGTATGTGTTGAAATCTTTTCTTTTTCAAATTTCCTTGGATAGATTCATAATTCAATGTAGTTGTTTGTTTTTTTAGTCTATCTAAGAACATTTTAACAATGTCAAGTGATTAATTTCTTTTTGTTCATTAATTAGATTGTAAGTATAATTTCCTCGCTTTTATTATAAATAAAATAATCACGTCAATAAAACTATTGATTTTTATTGTTTTACATTCTATGTAGCTATGTGCACTAGACTTTACACTTTAATATGACCTTAGCCTTTATTGTTTATCGTTTCAATGATGATTCTTTCGATATTATAGCGTACATAACTATTTGTCTATAAGTCACATTTCGTAACTTAATTCAGTCTTTTTTTCTTTTCCAGGAAAAATAATCTAATTAGGTTAAACTAATGTATATGTACCTCTGTTATTATTAGTTAACATTTTCCTTGCCGGTAGTAGTGCTAGCAATGCTGTTTAAACAAGTTATATTCAATTAGTTTTGGAGTAAATTTGTTTTAATACACATGATAATATAATCTCTGGCGAGATGCCTAAACAACTAGAAGTAGTAATCACAATAAATCCTTAATTGTTCTTTGTTTGATATGATAGAATAGAAATGTTTCTCTCTCTCTCTTTCTTGAAATATATGTATCATTTAAGTAAATGGGAGAATGTAAATAATACATTTTATTTTTTAAATCAATTTTAAGAGGATCAGGTCCTGTATGTGCACTGGTACATCCATCAATGTTACTCAGACTACCAGAAAAATGTGATGATAAACATCAGTCAATCTCTCAGCCGAAATTAACTAGACCAGTTTCGAAACCTGTTCAAGTTTCATGGGTTACTAAAGGACCTCCGCGTAATTACCGTCCATGGCCAACTAATAATAAATTTGATCAAAATACCTCTCATAAAAATAAAATGGATGATGCAAATCATAGTAATATATCAAAGGCTAGTCCCGTTCATTCATGGAATTCATCTAAATTGAAAACTAAACAAAAACAACCACCACAACAACAGTCGCAACAACAAAATATTAAGGTTTGTGAAATCTGTGTTCACTTGTTCGGTTTCATAATGCCAATATGTTTCTTTTTAAATACTGTTATTTTAAGCTGTTGTTGTTGTTCGGTGTCATTCTCAGATGACATTATTAATGTGACATAAATTGGTCGTAATTGTTTAGAAATAGATCAATTTCGTTGTGTCAGATCCTCATGTGAACTTTAACAGACACTATTGGTTTTGTATTATTGATTCTTTAATCCTCTTAAAAATGTCTCTTTTTATTTGTTCGATTATTATGATTGTTTATTCTCATGTTTAAGTATTGTGTCATACACTGATACATATCTATATCTGTTTGAACCATTTATTGTCGAAATATCTCAAATAACCTGTATGGTACATTCAATTTTTAAATGATTTAATAGTTGTGAACATTTGTGGCAACATTAATACATATCATGTTTTGTTTATATTTGTCATTAATTAATTAAGTGTTTAGTCTACATTAAATTAATTAATTGATTCGGGATAAATGATCATGAACTGTTTAAATAAGAGTTGAAAGGCATAAGAGAATCAGTTGTACATCATTTTTATATCAATATCTTCAAAGCATAAAATATATTTAAAAACAATCATTTCGAAATAAGAAATGATAAAATTGAATGAAGAGTAATTAGTGATTAAGTCAGTTTGTTCAATTCTTAACTACTCACTTAATTATTTTTACTCTTAATCTTGGAAAAAAAATTCAGTAGTTATGTTATGATTTAATAGAAAATGCTTTCCTTTATTTTTATCTATTTCGTTTTTACTATTTTGTATAATGGTATTTTATCCACACTGACACCTACTTCGATTTCTGTTATACTGTTATATAGGTTACTTATGTTGACAGATTAAGTAGTATGTCAGTCAGTCAGCTACACCGTAGGACCAGGCACATTTATGCATCGGTCCAGGTTGCCATAACTCATTAGCACAACAAGATGAACACCAAATTCATAGAAGTAGTTACTTCAATGGTAGTAATGTATAAAAGACTGTGTATAAGGATATAATACAGGTAGAAAGGATTAGTACGCAGAAATAAAGCAATTTTAATCTCACAGTTTAAGGGAAGACAGAGAGTGTGTCCACCTACGCCACTGTTATCGATTTTGAGCCATATCGCCCAGTAGTGTGTAGCACCAATCGACAGTTCAATACCTGTCAGCAGAAGACTGAGCTGGTTGAATTGAAGAAAACAAAGAGGAATTGTAATACCAACCGAATTTGATGAAGTATGTACAGATAAACTGAAGGAAGATATACAAATTACGTATCTAATGTTAATGTATGATTTTCATATTTTATGGAATCACCATGTAATTTTGTACATAATAATAAATTGATCTTCCCCACCTGAGCTTTGTTCACGACAATAATATTAACTGCATTAAAAAAAGGAAAACTTTCTATTTATTTTACGATGTATTATATCCACTGAAGGAGCTTTTAATGATTTCTCAACCATTATTTGTCATCAACTGATACATGTTGGTTAACCATAATACACATTCTGTTTATGTTTTGTCGAAGTTAAGCACCTTTCTTGGTCGAAAATCTGTTTGTGTTAATAGTTTGTTTACCTACTATTGAAAATTTACTTTCGAATTTAGAGAGTGTATGTTGCAGTTGAAAATGTTTTTATATCTGCTCTCATAACAATGGTCTTGAGATTGACAGTTATCTGATGTGTATCGACTTTGGACTATCTATCACTCGTTCATTGAGTAACAATGTCACTGTAATGACATAGATTTATGTCTGGATGTTGACTTCCACATAATTCTGTATACCTTAGATTGGAAACTACTTTTTATTGTTTTTTAGAATGCATTTAAATGTTATGTTAGATGGTTTGTTCAATTATGTATTGAGATGTACGTGGAATGTATCTTTCCATAACTCCACGCAAATATATACAACTTCACTAAAGTTTCATGTATATCGGTATAAGGTTGCGGAGATAGTTGAGTTTCAATGAGATTATGAACCGATCGATGTTAAACCACCAGTGCTTCCAGGTTTTTACGTATGTGTTTATCTCTTTTTTAGCCTGCTAAAAACCTATCCTCAACGGGAAAAGATACGATAAACAAGAAAACGCAAGGTTAGTTAGTGTATGATATTTTTCAAATATTTACTGACATTCTACTTTCTAAATATTGACTATTATTATCAGGTGTAGTCATTGCTAATATGTAGATAAAATTTTGGAGGGATAACCGTTCTCAACATTTATAAACACATAAGCACTGTATTACAATACTCAGTATAAAACATGGAATTTATGTTTAGATTAATTAGTTATTCTCCAAGCATCTTTAACTACCATAGACCCAGTTAACTCATCTTCATATATGCCGTATAAGTATGCAAATAAATCAATTTATCTATTTTTAACTTATCAAAATGATCTGTTACTAACACAAGTTTTATAATCCATAATAATATATACACGAATTTTTTTCAATCAGTCTGATGTTATAGGTAATCATCTAAACCTTGCTTACTTGTATTGTGTTTTTTTAACCAGGTCATTTCATATGTCATTCAATGCTAACATTCGTCCTATTATTTTTATTACTATGATTGTATGCTTGTGTTTTCAGATTTTAGCGATTACTTCGTTGAAACTCACATATAGTTCAATTTAGTACCTTGTATTTTTCATCAACAAAAACACTTATCGCTATGTTTTTTATGTTTTGTTATTAGTAATGTTTCAAGTCCAGTCGAACTGATCTACACGTATGGTAGACCACATTCTGTATGACCAACTGACTGAATTCCATTCGGTCCTTAAGGTCAATAGTTGTAGACGAATTACGTTGCTGAGAGAATCCCTGTCAACAATACATGAACATATTCTTTATTTTTACATACTGAATTCCGATATTCCTTCGTGCTTTTATTCTTAGAATTAATTTTTTTTCCCAACCATATTTACCATACTTGTTTGTTTTCTGATAATTAGCGACACCATTATTATTTCTATTATATTTAATATTCAGCATGTTGACTTCATCTCAGTGTACTGTTGCAACTCGGGCTAATGGACACTTAATATATTGTCCTGTGGATTTTGTCTGTTTGATTATTTATAAATGATTTTCTGTTTTTTAAATATTTACTATATATATTTATACGAATATTCGTCAAGATTAGAACGAATAGTTTGACAGTAATTGAGCGCCGAGTATAGAGAAGTCATTATATGTGAAAATTATATTTGAAATATTCTCAGCGATTGAAATTTAAATAATTCCAACGTTTCGTCCAGCTAACTTGTCTGAACTTCTTCAGGGTAATAATCAAAATTATCAAAGAAATATATAGCTTTTAACAATCAGGATTTTACAAAAAATCAACACCCAAATATGATTGGTTTAACACAGTATAATCCTGATTGTTAAAAGCCATATATTTCTTTGATAATTTTGATTTTGATTATTACCCTGAAGAAGTCCAGACAAGTTAGCTGGACGAAACGTTGGAATTAGTTAAATTTCAATCGCTGAGAATATTTCAAATATAATTTTCACATATAATGATTTACTATATATGTTAATAATATTTCTTAGAAGTAGGTTTTAATACCTACAGAATGCTCTAATTAACCTGTTATTTCAACAAAATATATCAAATCTTTAAAAAAGATACTTCAAAGATATATATTTATTGTGATGCATAAGTTTAGATTTGAGTTATTTTGTATTTTAATAATATCGTTTCTCAACGGAACAACTGCTTTGCGTCTTTTGGACTCCTGCAATATATATTATATCCTATGCTTAATGGATCAACAAGCTGTGATTGGTCCACAATCATTTTTTTCTTAGTTTTATCAATTATTTTGTGAATTTTTTTACCTTTACATATGTATATCTATACTCGTTGAATTAATCATTTAGTACATACAGCTTGCTAATCCCCAAAATAGTAGCCTTAGTTTTTACAGATCAATGATTAACCCAATAATTGATGCTGAGATATTTTAGAGTATTAAAGAAGTTATTATTTATAAACAAACAATTTAATCACAATAATTTGAATGTGTCAGTTAGGAAATGTAAAACAATGTCATTATTTCATCAAATGTTAAACAGTCATAATAAACCATCGTTTTTATTCATTTCCATTGTGTGATATTTATATTAATTTTATTAGTTGGGATTATGAGTCAATTGAAGCTATACCATCATGGAAAACCTGGAAGTAATGAGCGGCCTTTTCGTCCCACTGCCAAGGAGTCCCACAGTAGGACGAAACGGCCGTCCAGTGCTTTCAGGTTTTCCATGGTGGTCTAGCTTCGATTGACTCCTAATATCAACTATTAAAATTACTAGAATATTCACAAAACCCTTTCTGATGTTTATATATTACATTTAGTTTTAATGGGTCTAATGTTTTTGAAACCAAATCAATAATTACCATTTCGTATAACTTACAATAAGTATCTAATCATATAACAGTTTTATATTGAATAAGATGCAAAACAGCATTGTATAATGAATCTTATGATGTGCTGTTGAAAGTAGTTTATATGTATTATTATTTAGCCAAATACTTACATGTTCACGATTTCATTGACTTACTTATATTGGTCAAATTGAATAGGTTATTTATTATTAGTTACGCAAATGTTGTTCAATACAACAGTAGTTATAATAATCAGATCTATTGAGAATATTTAATAATATATTACCCAGTATTCATCATATTTTTGTATTAGCTAAATTTAGAAAAATTACTACAGAGACCATTCACCTCCTTTTCATATTGATCTTAATTATCATATAAATTATTCAAATGATATATTTATGTACTCATATTCGTGAAGAATACACTCACTACATAATTTTGAAAAGTATTTTCAACTTCCCAATTTATAAGTTGTTTTTTTTTGAAAATCAAAATATTTAGACTGTGCTTCATTCAAGTTTCATACAGGATACCCGTGCTATATTATTGATGGCAAAATTCTATTTGTGTTGTGCAAAAACAATATCCCAAAGCATTTAATGCTTTTTTTCAAATTGTCACTATGGTTTCAACTTTTATCACAATAGTATCTACTTTTTTAAACTAAAATGCATTCTTCTATTTTTTTTAAAAATTTTTATCAGAACTGGATTGTCGACCACACTGTGGTGATACATATTCCACTTTTCCTACTCTACAGAATAAATTTAACCGTTCGCGAAGCATAAGTGAACATAATACAAGTCTAGATGATAACAACGATAATGTAAGTCTATCTAATTTGTCACATGATGCAGAACATAATTCGCATTTTTGGACTATGCCAAGCCCACCGGACGTACCTCTCCCTCCATCTTATTGGTCTAATATTAACAAGCCTACACACGACTTGAAATTAAATAATAAGACTAAAGATGATAAAGAAAAGAACCAACGGAGTAGGGACGAAAAAAGTACTGGGTCGTCTAAGATTAAATCTCGTTCTCGTAATTCTGCAGAACGTAATCAAAAAAGTTCTATTACTCGTTGTGATAATCGTCCACGGTTAAACCACAATAGTGAGGTTTGTCAGAGAGCACCAACTCCAGTCATGCCGAAACAAATACCAATGCCCGATTTCGAAAGACAAAATCTTAATAGACCTCCAAACATGCATCAGTATCCTCCTCTTAACCAAATGCAACCTCAATTGCAATCTGCATATCAACCACTGCCATTTCTGCAGTTTCAACGGGTAATGCCATCTACAGTATACCCGATTAATATGATGACTCCGTATCTGTATGGTCAAAGAATGCCTGATTCTTCCTATATTTCATATCCTTCGTATTCCCCTTCGCCTATTTATCCACCTAACTTTGTAAATCGTGCACCTATTCCTCAGTTTCCATTGATGTCGAATCCTAATTCTCAGGTTTTTAACTCTACGATGAACTACGAGAATACTCACCGGTATGTTAATTCATTATTTTTACTGTTATTTGCATGTTTTAGTTATTCGTTCATTCATTAAATCACAGAATAGCAGGTAAATTAATATCTGCTCTGGGAAAAATTTATTCGACTTCACATTAGAAAAATCATTTGCTGCAACTATTGAGTTTATTTTTACATGCATCTAAACGCTTCATTTTTTTTTGTTAATAAATGAACAAAGATAATCTGTGTTTACGTTATGAGTATTCTATTTCTAGTGTCTGTTGAAAAGATCAGTGAACATATTCATAAATATGTTTTAATTAAATTTTTATCTGAAAATAACACTGAAATTTTTTTAACAAAAAGAAATGAGTTATTGCATAGTCAACCTTAAAAGAATAGACTATTGTTTATTGATTTTCTTATGAACAAAGCGTTTCTGTCGAAAAAACTATGCTTCATTATACTATGTATCAAAATGGTAAAGGTAATATTTGTTCAATCCAAAGCATAAATATGGAACGAATCATATTTGGACATTTCAATGAATATAACAGATAATTAGAAGTGTTGGTGATATAGTTAGAAAATAAATCTAAATGAAGTCAACCGGTAAATTTTCAGTTGATTGCTTTTGTACTTTTGAAAAGTATGTTTCCTTTTTTTCATGGAATCTGTACATCTGGGTGCTGTGCAAAATAAACTATATTAGATGGTGGTTGGAGGTAGTCGACAGGAAACCCTGGACCCGGATTTCGTGCTACGTGGCACTCGTCAGCAAGGCGTACCTTTAATCCTGAGGGAACTGGTGCTCCCTGATGGACTCGATCCCGTGTTACCCAGCTTCATAGTCAGAGACGTCACCACTGAGCTATCTGGGCTGTGACCGACCTCCTTCAGGACTGAGATGTGATCACAATTGATTGATCACCACCCAGGAATTTTAATTAAGTCACCATATAAAAAAACAGATTGTCAACTACAATTTGGAAAATGTGAAATTCTCATTGGAATTTCCGGACTCGTTAATTTTCCACTTTTTTTCGATAGGTTTAACAACCCGCCGATGCTATCATATGGGGAAAGAAACAGTCGGGATTCCTTCCGTCCTCCTGTTAAACAGGATCTACCATCTAACCGACCAACTACACCTCATCATAATGCTAATCAGTCAAGACGTTTTATTCCTCCTCAGGTTAGTATATATTCTATGATTTACTAAACTGTACACATTCTAATTAAATAGATTCGCGCTTCACTAGAGTGATAATGATGTTTCTTTTCGAAATAAGTAAATTATTTACACCTATTCATTTCATGTTCAACCACATTAATATCAACTCAGATTGTGATTATAGGTACACGGGATGGAATTATCACGTTAATCAGATTCTTACGTGATAGCCTCAAATATGATATTTTATCGTTTGCTTATCTAGTAGTGACTCTAATTTACTGAATTATGTTTTCCGGGATTACCACCTTAATGTCCCAGGATATACGAGCAATGCTTCGTAAACACCTATAATCGAAACATTGCTCGTATATCGTGGGACCACCAAATAAGTAATGCAGTTGTTATGTTGGTAGGTGTAGACAATCTGGTTAGGGTCCGCGAGACGATAGCAACCGACGGCTAGAGACCTTGGATGACATGGCTCAAAATCGTTTGCAGTGGCGCAGGTGCATTCACTATTTGTGTTCTGCCAAATTCTAATCTTCTGAATTCCTCGTGTCCCTTTTTTCTCTTTCCAAATTTATTTCACTGGATTATACTCTTTGAATAACATCTTCAAACATTAATGTTTCCTACAACTGCATCTCTGTGCTAATGTGGTATGGCAACTCGAACTGATGTACGTACGTACGAAGTTCTACGTTGTTACTGATCGACACCTTAATTAGTGTTAAACTTCAGTTGTCACCAGTTTAGCTTCCCTAGCATTATGTTTTTAAAATAATCTGGAGTGATTAGTTAGTACCTATGTTTAGTTTTCAATCAATAACACCAGGTCCAAACCCTGACATTTTTATTACAGTTTGAGCAAATGAACAGTAATATTACAAGCTTTCATATAATACAGTGTTTCTATGTATATGAGTTTGTACTTGGTAAATGAATTAGATTGTTTGGATTTTTTGTGCTGAAACGTATCGAAGTCAATCAATATTATCGAAAGGGAATCAGCTTAAAGACAAACGTGTTATTACACAAGATGTTCATATTCAGACTGTTTATGATTATTCTTAAGAGAACAGACAATTGTCACAGTGTCAGTTAGTAAGATAAATATTAATACAATTTCGCTCAAATTATTTTGACTGGTATGGTAACGCAGCAGACATAATCGAAATAAAGATCCTAGATTCCAATTCTTATATTGTATTTAGACTAATCGCACTTATACAACACGATATTATATTCCAAGCAAACGTATGTAGCAGCCAGACAAAAAGTGTGCTAGATGGTATACGTTTGGATTGATCGGATTAAATCAGTGTACTAATAAGTGACTCAGTTTATATAACCTTAGATTTAGTGCAATCATTAAGTATCCATAATTACATGCAGACAAACTCTGACACGTGGAAAATATGATGATATGATTAAAATTGCACATGTCTGATGGTCTGTCTGGTTTCATTCTTACTTGTAATAGGATAGATTTACATAGGCTACTTGAAGGTCTCTAGAATGCTGATTACTGTTTCTCTTTATCTTACGTTTCTAGGCCTTTCATTTCCTAACTTTGTCCATATCTACAACCTCATATAAGAATCATAATTTGGGTAGAGTAAATTAACGGATTGAATTTGTTGTGTATTTCCCGAAGTAGTAGTACTGTTTATTGAATGTGTCCTGATGACGTAGCAATACATAACAAGTTTCTGATCAGACATAAGAGTAAGCTATCAACTATAGTGTCGGTAAACAGAGCATGTCCTAGCTCTGCCTACCTTACAGATTTTGTTTCAATACTCTACTGTTGTAGTGCTATGATCCTTTCATTCGTTATTTATCGAAATTTGAATATCCTTATTATCTCTTCTATTTTTCCTTAGGTTTCACGAACGCGTCGACCTTGAATTGGGAAAACATTGCTTTTCCTAAAGACAATCACTTTTAATTGCTCGTTCTTCTTTTAAGGGAAAGTCATTTGTTTCTTTTCCACACTTCCAGAACATTTTTTGTTCAGATTCCCTTAAAATGTATTAAAATGTTTATCGAATTGGGACTGATATAATGTATTTGATAATGACTGCTTTTTTACGGGTTGGTTTTCATCCTTTAAAAATTCTTTGATTGTTTGTTTATTAATTATATTTGTATAACATCTTTTTCTAACAACTAATTTAAAAGACTTAATTAAAATACATGTTCAACTCCATAAATGTTATCCTTTTGAATGTATGGAGACTGTATGTGAGTAAATTGACGATTTCATGATGTCTTCTGTGTTGTAATGGACCGATATCATACGAACGATCCTTACTTCATTCGATAACCACTAAATCTAATTTAGCAAATAATGGTACTGTTATTTTCTATGTAAATTGAACACACAAATAACGACGAGTTCGTTTATACTAAACACATTGCCAGTTGTTAAACTATTCAAGAACTTCTTACAGACAATAAATGGTAATTTTTTACATTCAATATCCAATCTCTTTTAATTAAAACGTCTCAAACCAAAAAAAGCGCGTACTACAAAAAAAAATTTTCTTCAGAAAAAAAGAACGTGACTTGAACCGTAAAAAATAAACGAAGTGTAAAATCAAACCTGGATCATTTTTAAAAAAAAACAACAATAAATTTAGAGGTAAAAGCTATTCACTTCAGTACGATATTATAAGTCGAATGAACATTTGGATATATACAAGCAAAGGATTAAACAATACGAGAATTTAGATTAAAGAAAATGAAACATCTTAAAACTAAGATATGCAAAACAACGAAATTATAGTGAGTGATTACTGTTTAATTGTAGTATGTTCTCTTCTAGATCTTGCCTTCAATTAATAAAGCCATTTAGCTGGTACCCATTGTGGTTCTGTTAATAAATTATTTAAATGATAATTTAATTGTTCAAAAGTTGTTTCAATATTATCACATAATAAAATTAAATCCATGAGATAATTGTATTCACGTTCTATGTAGGTACTGGTTTCAAGTGTTTTACGAAATGTTTCATCCTGATTGATTAGAAAAAAATATTATTAACATTTTAGGTGAAATATAATGACAATAGCTAAAATTATGGTATAACATCAAACTAATGACTTTTATGTTTCTATGCAAAAGTCAAGAGTTTATGTGATGTTTAACGTTACATTAAGTAAAAATCATAGTAGAAATTACGATTATATAATGATCAGATTGTTAAAAAGGATCACACGCCAAAAAATAGTTTTGTTCACAATGTAAGAATAGTGTTGAAATTATCAATAATTGTTTGAAGTGGAATTTTCCTATGCATAAAATTTTTAGACAGACTTTAAAATTAACAGTTTGCACCAGAATAGTTATGTATAATCAAATAAATTTTCTCCATTGAGACTCAAAATCAAAATGTTAGATAATTGTAGTCCGCGAAAATCGAACAGTGCAGCTTTAAAAAACTTAGAGTTATGACATTCAAAGAGATGGGCAATTAATGATTACATTTATAAGAAACGGTTCAATTTCATGGCAAAATACTTTTTTATTAGTGTACAGTTATTGATCGGTCTCCATAGTTGTTTGAAATAAGCTAAACGCTGTTACAATAATTGACTGTTCAAAAGTTTTTAACTACTGAATATTATTTGAACATAAGTGAACTTTGCTTCATCTTGATTGTATCGTGACTACTCGTTACAAGTAGTGTAACTACTGCATCGGTATATTTTTACAACAGTATGAAACAAACCGCTAATTGTTACCATCATTACACGATAACGGTTATCAAGTTTGCAAAAGAAGCTTATCGGAATGTGCAAGCGCTGGTAGAAAACAATCATCAGACAGAAAGTTCTGAATTATTCTCTTTCTGTTGTTTTAAAGTTCGTATAATTTGTTCACTACTTCTTAATACATAGACAAAAATATTGGTAGTAGAACTAACTAATTTTAGGTAGATTAATGTAACTCAAATATTCTCTATTTGTGCATATATCCTAAACGAATTTAAATAAATGAGGTTTGCTACAAAAGTAAATTTTACAGATCCACACATAATCATAATTGGAAAAGCAATCATTAAATTCTTAAATAAAACATACTCTTTTCCATTTCTCAGTGAAACCCATACTCATGCCATATTCATACATTGCTTTCATACAACTAACCGATGGAGCAGCAAGAAATACAACATAAGGCATAAATTCTGAATTTCTTAACTTGGACACAGCTTGTACCGAACAATCAAGTAAGCATGTACGGCCTGCTCGCACTACTTCTCGGATACTATCATATTTTGTACCATAGAAATTATCTTCATAATCGCCGAACTTCAATTTAAAAGGTGAAAAATATACATGAATAGAAGTAGCGAATGTATTGATATACAATCACTTTTTCATAGAATTACTTTATTCAAGAGTTAAACTGAGAGTTCTCACCATAACTTCCTAAAATGTATGATATAAAAGGTTACAGACCCTATCAGAATTTCTTTTATAATCAAATACTTATTGTTTTAAAGTGTACGTAAGTTGTTCATTACTTCTAAACACATAGAAGACAGTATTTGTACTAGTAGTACCGAATTTGATATACTATTAATTGATGTTGGTAGTTGGACCAATGTAGTTCAGCTCAAAAATATTTTCCATTTGTACAGTTTTGTAATTGGATTCACAGAAAAGAGAACTCATTGTTTAATTCATCTTATTTTATAGCTAAGTATATACAAAACCTAATATGTTCTACAACATGTCAGTATGGATAAAGTAAATTACAAGTTGTAAAAGTACAAAATCAACTTAGGATTTCAACGCTAAAACACTGAATTTAAGAATTGTTTTATTTAGTTATTGATATTGCGTTATGACACAAAATTTCGCTACAATAATTTAGATCTTTTCTCTACATTCTAACCAGTTAACATAAATATGTATAAATAAGTGATATGGGAAGAAAAATAGGTTAATTATTTTAGCGGGACCTGAAATACACTCAAGAAATCCATGCAGGATGGACAGTTGTTTATGAAGATAACGTAAAAAAGAAAAGTTTTTTTTAACAAGGTCAAGCGTTTTAGGGAGCGCTATGAAGACTGGAACTAGGATGAGAAGTCCCGGCGACTGTTGACTTTACGTGCTGTAGATTTTAGCAGATTCACTTACCAGATAAAATGGGCTAAATCCAAAGAAATTTTATCATGGGCACAATTATAGCAAAACGTGGAACGGCAAGGTAGTTGAAGAGCTTTACTAACAGAAATAATGTAAACAGTGGAAATGAAGACTGGTAAAATGTATTGCCATAAATGAAGAATATTCTAATGGAGATAAAATTGATCTACGCTAAAGTTTTTTTTCCGAAATGACTTTCCACAACCTAAATTTTTGTATAAATTGAATAAAATACTGATGATCAATCTCCAGTAATTTTTCCTCAACAATGAGAACCATCAGCGAAATGAGATTCAAACGTTATTCAATAATTATTGTTGAAAACCTAACTATTATCATGTATTTTCAGTTCAGAAGAAAATTAGATCAGTAACGTAGATAAGCAGTATACACTGAATTAAACATACAGATAAACTGTAGGAAATCATTTACCACTCCATATCTATTATTTAAAAAGTTATTCGTATATACTGATTATAATACGTATGCAAAAGATATTGATATCCTACAAGAAAAAAAAGACTTATAATAGATGTGAATTACCAATGATTTCTGCCCTTGATAAATGGTTTTGTTGTTTTAATAGACGATTCATTCAAACCAATATTCGATTAAACCAGTTGACTTATTTCATATAAAAAAGTATGTGAAGATTATTTACAAAATTCATAATTCATCTCTGTATTCTATCCAATTAAATAGTGTTTATTTCTGTATAATCCAAGCACAACTTTGGTAGAAATGACTTATTTTTATTATTACTTTAGAAATATCCTCTTCTATAATTTCATATTTAAATCATCTAGCAACATTCTTAGTAATGTTTATGTAATAAATTAAAATTAATTAATTAATTCAACATTGAAAATTTAAATTTACTTCAAGATATTTATTTTTCAAATTATCCATTTCCATTTTCTCTTTGGATTCAACAATAAATTCACCATCATCCTCTTCTCCAACATCTAATTCTTTTGATGTATCTAAGGTCAATAAAAAGAAATAAAACAATAAATAAACACGAATTAATTTTAGAGTGGAGTAATTTAATAAAAGAGAAAATAGTAAAAAAAAATTCTTTGACGTGGGTGGTTTACGGAGATTCTTCAGATGAATCTTACATATGGAGAATTGATTTTAGACATAAAAAAAGAGTCCCGCTACACAGCTGTCTGATTCTACTTTGAGAGGGGACTTGAAGGTAGAATATATGTAACACACAAATCAACCCTGAACCAAATCTTAATTCTTAACTTCTGATCCTAACTCTAACCAGGAAAAATGTGCAAACTCCTAAAAATCTTTCTAGGTTTTAATAAGCGTTTGATTAGACGGATCTATTATATTCATATGAATGACTTATTAATTATGTTAAATCTGTTTGCAGCTTGTAATATAGTTGTTTTCTTATTGGTTAACAGTTGGATAAAATTCGCCTCGGTCGTTTTAAACACATCTCTATACTACATACTTACCGGCTTCGATTCATATTGAGTTCATAAAATGATATTAATTACTGTTGAATAAAATAACCGATATAGGACAGAAAAGATAATACAAAATAATAATAATACAATATACAGTGAAATCTATTCATCCCGACCGTTGTTGCTACCTTGACGTGGTAGTCGGGCTTGCCTATCGTGATGAAGCAACCGAGCTATACTGGCTGGAACAACCGTTCCTCAAGGTCCTACCATGCCAGACAGGTCGGTTGAAGAGCGGTAAGACTAAAAGCAACAAACCCA